GCCACTTTAAGTGTGGATATATGTAGGTGGAGCATAAGTAAAGGTGCTCGTATACAATTTAGCACAAAAATACAAAAATTCCGTCAGTTAATATCTTACTTCGAGCCTTCCAAACCCCTTTATAAAATTCTGTCCTGAACAAATCCATCCTACACTCCATGAGTTTGTGCCTGCAAAAATTTGAAAGAATACCTCTACAGATGAGGTAGCAATCCATGACAGGGGAATGGCATGGTAAGACGTGTCGATGATCACGTGTTGCAATAAAGAAAGTAACTGAAGCATGACCAAAGCGCGACTATTGGCGTCAGCAATGCGTTATCGTCATTACCTCTGCATATATTGACTTGTTAACCACAAGTATCTTATATCATGGGCAAAGACACTTGGAAACTGGGCCAGAAGTCACGATTGACATTGCAAACTTCCCAGTCAATGACAAACCTTTGCAACATTCACTCTGACAACTTGGAGAACAGACCGGAACACAATATGAATGTCTAAAGCTCAAAATCAGCAGGAGCTTGAAGCTCAACTCGATGTGAGGAGTGAATAGGAAAGCTACATTCCAGAGGAAAATGCATCTGACATGTATAGTGACACAGATATAGAACTTGGCTACTAAATTCAATTATAATAGTATATTATATATCACCACAAACAACATAGACTTGTAAATTGGTCCCTACATATTGATTGAAGTGAAATAACAGTCATCGACCACTGAATTCGACTATTTGGTGCGAGACAAACAGAACCAAACAGCACGATTTTATTGGCACGGTTGCCGCTCCCCACGTCTTGTAGATCAAACAGAAATAGAGGTTCCAATTTCGAAGTTTTTCATTGCTCCATGTCCGTGAAACTGGCCCCAATCCCACCTGAGACACCTCATCAACAAAATATTCTTGCACCAATCACTCCTACCCCATTCTGGAACTACAATGGAGTTTCTGATAGCTCATTTTCTCCATTTCCTTCTTCCCTGTCCCTCTCAGCTTGTTCCTAGATTTGAGAATTAGTATATTTACAGCAGTAGAGGTATGAAGAGCCAGTACCTGGTCTTCCTCAAGTGCAGTTGTTAGATATATGGCAAGAATGGCTGGATTGGAGGGAATTTCATGGTCGGACAAAGGGTAGGATCCTCCAGAATAGCAAGTATGGCATGCATAACCATGTATATATGTGCAGCTTTTCCCAATCCCATTGCTGAGATTGCAAGGACATTGAGCATTGAGGTAATACCCTGAAGTTAGTAGTCATGTGGACCAGATGGGAGGTGTTTCTGTTGGATTTGGAGGGAGAGGGCCCACCCCTTTGCAGATTTGAATGTAGACTTTTTGGTTACTGGTGTTTCAGGCATTATTACCAGGGAAAACACGTATAATTCGTCAATGAAGCACAACTAATTTACAACGCGACGTGGTCCGTGGGAACAAAACATGACCATTATTTTTACGCCTATGTTGACCTTACCACAAGGCCCAGACTAGCTTCTACAGACATTATGCAATGTTCATTTCAACATTTCTACCTACCTTTTGTATTATACACACTACAAACATCAATGGGGAGTTATTTTACCTCATTCCAACAAATATATTGAGTGAAAAATACATAAATTGAGAACAAGTTCAAATTTACCTTTTAGGGGAGGATATAGAATTTTCTAACCCAAAGACTTTATGAAGCTCATAACAATAGCAGGGAGACTGAGTGTTCAAAATATCTCTTCCTCAAGTTGTGAATTGCTTCCAGTAGGTTGCAGTCATTCAGAATTTCCCATTTTGTCAAATCCCATTTTTGGGTAGTCCTGTTTTTACCGCACCCTCCGAACCGCGTCAGAAAATGCTTATGTAAAGTGTGGACTTTAAAACCACGTCGCGTCAATTTCGAGGAACCTCCTCATAACTCTCGATGTGTTTGAAACTTTTCAACACTATTTGCTGTCACAAATTTCATTCATATTTCATTATGACCTCAACATTAATGTATAGCAATGTTCAAACTGTCAGATCCTACAAGAAATTAGAACCAATCCCTGAAATACCCGAAACTTCAGCATTCATCACACCCTTCCTGCCATCTTCATTGAGTTCCCTTCTTCCAACATCTCAAAATGACCAACATGGGTCGTCACCTACTACACCTCCATTTTCCAGCTCCCCATTTAACAATTTGAGCTCTCTTGGTGGATCTTTGAGCCAACCTCGACTGATCAAACCTCCCAAAGCAATGTGCGGAAGCTGATATTCAAGTTTGAGAGAATGGAAATGTTTCTAAAGGACTCGGGATTCGATTCTGTTGGTGACTTTTTAAAGATTTCCCAGCCACCTCTCTGGGGAATCAGATCCTCAAGGCTCTTGGAATGTGCCGTTGCTAAGATATCAAACGGGGAAAGTGACCACGTAGAAAAGATCCGATGGTCCCAAAGGCTAGACGAAAAGAAAGACCACATTCATTGATCAGATGGACCTCGTCGACGCACACTCCTTGATTTCACCTGCTAAACAGATCCCAGCCATCCGTGCGGTGCTCAAAGTCTCTTTGCAGTACGAGAATGCAGAGATTTTCTGTCTTGACATTCATGAACCTAGGCCAAAACTCATCAGTAGAACGAGGAAGATCACTGATAGACATACAATGTTATCAGCCAGCCCCTTTTTTGGTGTTGAGTTTCTTGACAATTGTGTCTTGAAGTCCTTCAGGGTCCTGCCAGTGGGGTTGTCGAGCCATCATTAAGTCATCATAACGAATCAGAAATCAGTCAGGATGTAGAGTATCAAGTTTGACGTGTATTAGGGTAGAAATGCTCGGGCTATCGTGTCGAGAGCAAAACGGCAAGGAGGTAATATTGACGCGACGTGGTTTCAAAGTCCGCACTTTACATAAGTATTTTCTGACGCGGTTCGGAGGGTGTGGTAACAAACAGACTTTATATATCGTGAACCAAGGTACGACTTTACATATATCAAAGTCTGTCTAGGAGAGACTAATTTTTGGGAGTTGTCATAGTCAATGCCCTGCTGTATCCTGAGTTTTTATTTGTTCATCTCCAGACTTGGTATATACAATCTACATGTCCTTAGTTATGTTTCATGCACCAGAGTTTAGTCCTTAAAATGTTTGGTTCTTGTGTTACAGCACCAACTTTGTCCAAAAAATCATGTGACATTACTTTTGATCAGTGAGTGTAAGTAGGAATAATCACCTCAGTGTTTGCGCGGGTAAGCCAAACGACCAGACTACCTAGAGCAGGGTATTTATTACCTACGGAGTAACTAAAGGCACATATTGAATTTAGATGCCTGCAATAACAGCTGATTGCAAAACGATGGGCCAGTTGTGCTCAAGCTGCTCTTCAGTCTTGAAATTTGAAAGGTTATAATTAGAAATCAATTACTAGTAGAAGCACAGCTCCTGCTGCTGCCAGTTGTTGTTTGGTCCAGCTTCAATGACGTTCAATCGATGCACAAACAAACGGCTGAAGATCAGACTCCGTTACAACTACCTATCGGTTTGCAATCAGCTGAAATGGATCACGAGTGATAGGATATAGAGCAATATGGGGAAATGAATGTAAGTAAAGGAATTTCTCCGAAGATATGGAGATGGCGAGGGCGTCGCGTCACCTAACACAGGGATAACGATCCAACCCAGGCTTCCTTTCTGGATAAAAGGCGAAAGGCTAGCAACTTCCGACGCACTTCAGCTGCAATGGTTCGTGCCATCATCCTAGCTGGCTGTTACCTCCTAGCCCTGGTCACGTCCGGCTTTTGCCTATCTTCTGGCCACGAACTTATAGGCATCGAATCTCGCAGCCTTGACGCTATATACCAAGCTGCTCTTAAGGAAAAAGGAACTTTGAGAATCTCCTGGGGCGGTGACGGTAAACCAGTTGTTTTTTGTCTCTTGGAAAACCCAATTTTTTTTTTCTGTTCAAAGGAAAATCAAATGGCGCAGGAATTATAGCCGCTTTCACGAAGCGTTTCCCAGACGTCGAGTTCAACCTAACTGTTGACCTATCCAAGTACCACGACAGCCGTGCTGATCGTACTTTCGACACTTCAAATGGAGAGGACGATGGTACTGACGTCGTACTCCTTCAAACTGTGCACGATTTTCCTCGCTGGAAGAAAGCGAACCGATTGCTGCCCTACAAGGTAGCCACCTGGAACGACATTCAGTCACCGTTCAAAGACGAAGACGGTGCTTTTACAGGCTGCTTCATTGGTAAGCTCCCAAACCCTCTCTACGCGTACACCTAGATCATTATTTTTTCTTTCTTTATCTATGCAGGCGAGTTCGGTACAATTGTCTTCAACGACGACAAAGCCCCCAACGACACAGTACCAACCACATACCAATCATTCCTCAAGCCAGAGTGGCGCAACAAACTCGCTATGACCTATCCAAACGACGACGACGCCATTCTCTACCTTTTCACCTTGATCGTCAAACAGCACGGCTGGACCTTCATCGACTCCCTCGTCTCGCAAAACGTAACCTGGCTCCGGGGAACCGGAAACCCCACCGCACTCATCGCCAAACCATCCTCACAAAACGAGCTCGCGGCATCCTTCGCTGCATCCCCGTCCTCCGCAGCCGTAATCTTAACCAAATTGCCCACTGAAGACCACTACGTCACTTGGCCGCAAACCGGCGCCATCTTTGCGACCACGAAGATGCCGGAAACTGCCAAGCTCTTCATGAGTTATATCATGAGCGACGAATGGCAAGCGGGAGGCTTTCCGTCGAGTGGATACGCAACGAGGAAACAATTTGATACGGATGGGGTTTTGAACCAGACGCTTACGAACCCTCTTGGGTTTGTGACGTTTATGCAGGATCGCGGGAGTGTGGAGAGGTGGAGGTTCCAGTTCGAGACTACGTTGGGAACCCCACAGGGAATAAGTCCCCTCCTCGACAATACCGTTTAGTTCTCCATTCACCATCCATCTGCTTCGAGAAACGTAATATTTATCCAGAGAGTCCTTTGATCAACTGAGAAGTGCAGTACGTCTAATTTTCCTTGACACTTGAGAGATCCGCAACAGGATACACAAATACAACATGTTACATTCATTTTACTTCCCTTCCATCTAAATACCAGCCTTCGCATCCTCCCCAGCAACATACAAAAGCAAATCACAAACCCTACGCGAGTATCCCCACTCATTATCATACCACGAAATAAGCTTGACAAAGTTCGTGTTCAGCTGAATACCAGCCTTGGCATCAAAGATCGACGACGCGTTGTGTCCAACGAAATCAGTGGAGACGTTTTGTTCGTCAGTGTACTCGACGATGCCCTTGTACGCGCCCTCGGACGCAGCTTTGATGACGGCTTTGATCTCGTCGTACGTTGCGCTCTTCTCAAGGCGCACGACGAGATCGACGACGGAGACGTCGAGGGTGGGGACGCGGAAGGACAAGCCGCTGAGCGAGTGAGGTGAGCATGATATCGTGATGATAGATCAACGGCAGGGCCTACGTCAATTTCCCATTCAAGGAAGGGATAACCTTGCCCACAGCCTTGGCCGCACCGGTGGACGAGGGGATGATGTTGTTGTTAACGCTACGCCCACCACGCCAGTCCTTGTTCGAAGGCCCATCGACAGTCTTCTGTGTAGCGGTGGTGGCATGGACGGTAGTCATCAACCCCTCGACGATACCAAAGTTGTCATGGACGATCTTGGCGAGGGGAGCAAGGCAGTTGGTGGTACATGAGGCGTTGGAGATCTATGTCAATCTGAATGTTAAAAGAAAGAAAAAAACTTTTGCAAAAGATGATGAACGAAAACGCACGACTGTGTACTTTGGATCGTACTTGTCAAGATTGACGCCACACACAAACATAGGTGCGTCGGCCGAAGGGGCGGAGATAACAACCTTCTTTGCTCCGCCTTTCAAATGCGCAGAGGCCCTGGAACGTTCGAGGTTTCTGATAAGCAGTCCATTCAATCTGAGAGCGGTGTCATGACTTACTTGTCGACGGTAGTGAAGACACCCTAAAATTTGACCGAGTAAGCTTGTCTCCAACAAAAAGAAGGAAAAAATAGAAACGAACAGTAGATTCGACGATGTACTCGGCACCAGCTGAACCCCAGGGAATAGCGGCGGGATCGCGCTCGCTGAAGACGGTGACGGGGGTGCCGTTGATAACGAGCTTGCCGTCCTTTGCTTCGACGGTTCCCTTGAATCGTCCGTGGACGGAATCATATTTGAACATATAGACCATGTATTCAAGGTCAATGAAGGGGCTGTCGTTCGTTCAGTCACCAAATAACTTGGTAGAGATATGGCTGGACTGACTCGTTCACGGCAACGACCTTGATGTCCTGCAGCTCCAGGGCATTACGGAGTACGATACGGCCGATACGACCTGCGAAATCATAGAGCGCATCAGTAAAGAGTTGTGCCAAACGTCGATGAACTCACCGAAACTGTCGGATAATTATGAAGTCTTCAATATGGACAACAGACAAATTACGCACCCGTTGATGCCGACGTTGACCTAAGAGCAATAATTCAATAGCAGAACGCGGACATGGACAAAAAGCACAAACCATTGTGATAGTTGAGTGAGTTGTAGTGGGTGAGTAAGGAATGTCAGGCTAGAAAGTAACGCAGAAAGCACGTTATATGTTGCGCGCCATCCTCCGGACACCGCCGAGCATGGAGCTTTCGAGGCTCTCGGGAATGTGACTTATCGATAAAGATCGCAGCAGATTCGGTGAAATGCAGGCGAACGGCTCAATCGATCAGTCATCCGTTGCTTACGCGTGTCGACGTCATCACAAGTTATTCGCATTCAACAAAGTAGTATTACACACGTTTCAACTCCTATAGCTAGTAGTCCGTTACTTCCGTCCAGCCTTCGCGTCAACATCAGCAACGTGCACAATAAGATCGCACACGCGACGAGAATATCCCCACTCATTGTCATACCAGGCAATCAGCTTGACAAAGTTGGGGTTCAGCATGATCCCGCCCTTGGCGTCGAAGATGGACGAATAGGTGCTTCCAACAAAGTCGGTGGACACCACCATCTCGTCGGTGAAACCTATGATGCCTTGATATTCCTTGCTAGCGGCGGCTTCTTTGAACGTCTTGACGATGTCCTCGTATGATGTGGCTTTCTCGGTGCGCACCACAAGATCAACCACGGATACGTCGAGAGTGGGGACACGGAAGGCAAGTCCACTAGATGAAAAAACGTCGTTGAGTGAGGTGGTCAAAGTAGCGAGACTACGCACGTCAATTTCCCATTCAGCGCAGGGATGACCTTCCCCACAGCCTTGGCGGCCCCAGTTGAGGAGGGGATAATATTATTGTTAACACTGCGACCGCCACGCCAGTCTTTATGAGACGGCCCATCTACGGTTTTCTGCGTCGCCGTTGTCGAGTGGACGGTCGTCATGAGACCTTCGATGATCTTGTACTTGTCATTCACGACTTTTGCAAGGGGTGCGAGGCAGTTCGTGGTGCAAGATGCACAGGAGATCTAGGTGGCAGTGAGAAAAGAACAGCGACATGAAATACTACGACATACGACGTTCTCCTCGGGGTTATACGTGTCCTCGTTGACCCCGATGACATACATGGGTGCGTCAGCAGAGGGCGCGGAGATGATGACTTTCTTCGCGCCGCCTTTTAGATGGAGTTCGGCCCTGAATAGAAATTATAGCTAGGTACATAGCAAAAGGAGCAAATGGTAGTACTGTGCTTTGTGAGTGAACACTCCCTGTAAGATCTCAATCAGTGTTTCAGAGAAGATTCAACGGGCACCGTACCGTTGACTCCACGATATACTCTGCGCCAACGGCGCCCCACTTGATAGTGGCTGGATCTTTCTCGTTGAACACATGGACAGGCTTTCCAGCGATATAGAGTTTGCCGTCCTTCGCCTCGACCGTTCCCTTGAAACGGCCATGCACAGAGTCAAACTTGAACATATAAACCTGGAAGAACCTCTTTAATATTTGCAAGGCAATGTCAAGGAAACACGAACCATATATTCGAGGTCAATAAATGGGCTAACGGAGAAAATCAGCCGCAGGTTTCAATACGTCTCTTAAATGTGCAAAACGTACTCGTTCACAGCGACGACCTCGATGTTTCCCATCTCGAGGGCATTTCTAAAGACGATACGACCAATACGACCTTGTCCATGGAGAATTAGCTTTATAGACTTTGAGAATGTACTGAGACCTACCGAAACTAGAGAGAGATGCGTGTGTTCGTCTCTCCGTGCAGTTATACGAGGTGAAAATCCACTCACCCGTTGATTCCGACTTTGATCTGAATGGCCAGAAAGTCAGTGCTGTCGACGATGAAGAAGAGCTGTAACGTACAGGTGCCATTGCAATTGAGAGAAGAAATAGCGAGTCACGGAGGTCGCACTATATACTATGCGACAAGAGCGTCATAGGGAGATGACGTCGTTGACTGGCCCCGTTGGTGCTCATGGGGCTGGTTAGTAGTTGCTCATCGTAGTAAGCAACTCCCTGTCACTTGATCTGTGAGAGTCCGGTATATTATTACACAACGAAAAAAAGAACCAACAAGAAATGTACTCATAGTCAAACCCTTTCTATCTATACACCTTCCACATCCTTCTTTCCCCTCTTCCCCTCCCCACCAGCCAAGCTCTTCATTTCCCAATGCAATCTAACCATATTCCTCGCACTCGCAAAATTAAACCCAGCCGCAAGACCCAAAACCACACTCAAAAACACCACCAACCAGTCCATCTGATTTCCCTCCCATTTCATCAATCTCTCATATAGCCCAGTTGATTGTGAAAGACGGATGTAGACGGTCCCGGCGTTGATGCACCCAGTGAACAAGTACATGGACGCCATGAATAAAGGCACGGAGAAGGTCAGTGTAGGCGCGGAGAAGGGGAGGAGGGTGTCAGTGCCGCTGAATGTTTGCGTTGTTTTGTAAAGGATTATGGCGAGGCTTTGGTGGATAGGTTCAAAATGAAGTAGTTACAAGAGACTTGTCGAAATGCTCACAAAAGGCTGCAGAGTGCCATCCCAGCTTTTTACACGGGAAAGTTAGCATTCATCGCATTGACGGCGAGTCAGTGCGCTCACCCCATCTAATTATCCCAAAACTCAGCACCAAGCTAGACGAGAGAGACGGATGGAACTCACAAAGCAGCTTCGTAGAACGACTCGTAGTGCGCAACAGACATCTTGATCTCAGCTAGCAGCGAGCTGTGAGGGGGAGGGACATGAACTGGCTGTGGTCGAGTGACAGGCACGAATCTGATCACGCTTGAGATCACGTTCAGCGTGACAGAAAGGTCACCGACGCGTCCACAACAATGCACTCTCCTACTCACTTCCACCACGGCGCATTTGATCAGGCATGTCTAGCGTGACTATACGGGTACGCTAAATTTTAGATCGCACTAAACCCTGCGTTAACGTTGTCGACACACACAGAACGTCGAATTCATAAACAACCCCGCCAAATTTTCCGACGTCTATCAATTTCGTGTTACCTTCGAATGCATCGCACCTCTGAAAGATGGTGAGTTCCTAACGCTCGACTACTCTATTCACTGTCATTCTTAGCACCCTAGACCTCGAATGGAAACTCATCTTCGTGTCATGCCCCGAAAAAGAAGACCTTGACCAAGAGCTAGATGATTGTCTGGTCGGTCCCGTTCCGATTGGGATAAACTCGTTCGAATTCGAAGGATCTCCGCCAGATCCTTCAAAAATCCCACCAGAAGATGTTTTAGGGGTGGCAGCGCTCATTCTGACGGGGTCATATAATGACCAAGAGTTTGTGCGTGTGGGGTACTACCAGAACACGGAATACGATAATGAGGAGATGAAGGAGACGCCGCCTGCGAAGATTGCGTTTGAGAGGTTGGTGAGGGATATCAGTGCTAAACCTCGTGTGACGCGTTTTCAGATCAAGTGGTGAGCTGTCCGCTTGTTAATGTCGACTTTTAATGCTGACCCCTCTTAGGGATGTCGCTTCGCCCCAACTTGCGCACGCCGCTGCAGGCGCTGTTACTTCTGCTCCAGTTCCTTCTGCCAATGATTTGGATGATTCAATGGACGTTGAGGCTCCTGGAAAACCAAACGGCACCGCACTATCATGATATCACAGCCATCTTGTATTTATTGTATTTCATCTTAGATATTCTTTGACTGGAAGTCATACGCCATTCACATTACCAGAGCCTTTCCAACCCGGAGCCAAGCAACAAGCAGATGTCATCAGGGAGATATCGACCAGAAAAACCCTTGCGGTGATGGCTCAAAGGCCTGGCTGATATTGGTTCAAAAGTGCTGCTCTTTCCTCAAAAAAAGGCTGAAATTTTACATTACCAGAGCCTTTCCAACCCCGAGCCAACAAGTGGCAGATGACATCAGGGAGACATTCACCAGGAAAACCACAGGAACTCTTTTGAAGGGCATTAGGGGTGATGGTTTAAAAGCGTTGATACTTCCAGCCGTTAGGTATGTGACCTCTCCCCCCTTACTTGTCGCTAACTTCAAATTCATGAAGAATCCTCCCATTTCAAACCACTCCTCAAAAAGAGGGTGAAAGGATCACCGAAAGTATTTCATTTTTCAGCACCAGTTTGTGAACAGGTGACGAAACGTACAACGTAGTTTGAGGACCAGATCTAGTTACCCCATACAAAGATCTTCCGCTATAACTTATCCCTTACTTTACAACGACAGTTTCCAGAAAGCAGCAGAGCTCGAATTTCCCTAAAGTCCCCTCTTAAATGTCGTCAAGATCTATGATCTTCTCGTCTTCCACTGTTTTCTGAGAGGGCAGAATTTGGTCCGGCAGCTCATCATCATTTTCATCCAGATCACATAGTCCGTCAGCGTTGACGAAAGGTTTCTTCGCCGGGTGGTCCTTGGCTGATTTGGGCACCACGACTCCAGATCGTATTCTGGTGCCAGGCCTCCGACCGAGCTCTATGACCTTCCTTGCAACACGAACAGCTTCTAGTTCTTCGAACTAAAGAGATACAAAAATGAGCAGAATTTAGTCACAACGAAAGAGAATTTACCTTCTTCTGGGTTTCCGCGTTGTCTACTCGGCGTACTCCTGGTTTGAGAGAAGGATCGAAACCCAGTGACTTGATCACGCTGGCCGAGTATGCGCCTTTAGATTGTACCGAGTCGTCCTTTTCGCCGGTTTCTTTTCCCTTCCCTTTCTCTCCCCCAAGTTTACCTTTCCCCGAAAACTCTCGAGCTTTCATCACATCCCTCATGCCTTCCCTATCTCTTTCGAGTAACAGCTTCAAAGCTCGATCCGCATCTTTCCCAGCAGTCTTTCGCTTGGCCTTGGCTTGCCCCTCTCGTCCCATCGTTTCTGACACAAATAGAGTCCGTGAATCACTATTGGACCCGCTAACGACGTGCCCAGAAACAATGTAAGTGGCTCCACTAGAAACACCCTCCGGTTTGAGACCCCACTGTCGAAGGGGGTCATAATCATGTTTCCGAGTCGACTTGGTGGAGGTCGTCAGCCCAGAAGTCCTGTTATTCTCGCCGTCAGCTGGCGATCGCAATGTCGATCGTAGAGCACGAACCCTACTGAGAACTCGGGACGCGCAGCCCGCCTGTGTTGGACGGCTGCTTGTACGTGGTACTCGCACACCTCGCTGACACTCTTGTCGCACCAACTTCCGCACACCTTTCCATCGCGTTTCTGGACGGTGCACATTCCAAGATCGCGTGAGCGTCCGATTACCACAATGGACGCTGCAGATTCCGGTGTAACGGCTAAAATGTTGTTAACTGGGTGTGGTGTATCTGCTGACCTCTGAATGATAGTTCAATATTTGAAGGACAGGGTAAGATCAAAGTACCTGAAATGGTTTGAGGATCTTGGGATTGAGTAGCGCGACGACATCCCCTTCCTTGAGTTTTGCCATACTCTCGAAAGCACCTCTGCTCCCACCCTTGTAAATCTTCTCTTGCCGCTTGTCATCATTGCTCATGAGGTCGAAACCATCCGACTCAAATAACAACAAAGATAGAAAAGCGTCTCCACGTATGACTGCTTTACCTCCAGTAGCCGACGAAGACGATCGTGCCCGAGCCCCAAAGTCGACGAGTTTCATGTTCACAAAACGTTTCCCTGAAGGTTTCTCTGGCAGCTTCTCCTTTCCCTTCACCTTCCTTCCCTCATCCTCGTCGGGTCCAACAGTTACTGGTGCACGTGTGAACTTAATAGGTCCACGTTCGGCGACGACGGCTATGGTTACCCAGTCCCCTGGAACAGGAACGTCGTAGCCTTGCTTGTCTGGGAGTAGTCGGACTGCAGAGTAAAGGCGTGATGGCGATAAATAGTAACGAGCTCGAAGGTAGTCTTGAAAGTCTTCATGTGATATTTTACGTGATCTGAAACGGTTGAGAGGTTACAAGTAACGCGTTGGAAAGAATGTTGAACTGACGAAAGGTTGATACCTGAATGTGGTTCCAGCTTGTCGAAGTTTGGGTCGTCACTCGGTGGCCTGTGGTCATACGGCCCAGGTTCGAGGTCCTCGATGAGTGCCAGCCGTTCGTCACGTATCGGACCCGAAGGTTCATCCACCTCCAGATGGGGCGTTTCCTTAAAACCCTTCGTTCGGCTGACAGCAGCAACTGGGGTGGTATCGACGGCAGAACTCATCGTCGCGAGTTGGTCAAGCATCTTAGAAGGTGCTGGCTTGATACACAGCTTCTCGATAGAGCCTGCCTCAGCTGGTGCCCGCTTCGACGCGTCTTTACGCTCAGTTTTTGCGAAGACGGGTCGCACAGAACCCATGCCTTGTTTAGGATGGTCAAGCTTCCGTTTCTTCTCTGTTGAGCAGTAAGCTCACGTATGGAGTAAATAGCAGAAATTTACTCGGTGACGGTGTTGCCGGAGCCAGTAGGATAGGTTCTGGGTTCTTTCGCTTGGGCGACGTAGGTGCTTTTGCTGCAGGTGCATCATCAGGCAACTCAACTAGCTGAGCTTGTAAGAAAGCAATCTGTTTCTTGAGTTCCTCTTGCTTTCTACGTTCTTCCTCCAATCTGCCCGACGAGGATTCCATTGTCGTAGAAGTAGCCAGAAAGAAACGAAGATTTTGTCAAGCTGTCATTGTGCAAGTCGCGGTCACGAGGATCAGCTTATTTGCTTATGTTTTTCTCAGAATCTCACGGATCATTGATTTCATACTCAGATCAAGACTAGAACCTCGTAGAGTCCTTCATGAACAACGTCGCACGAAGCGAGAAAATATGACAGTGTCGTAATCCGAATGTGTATGCAGCCTTCATTGATGGAGGAGTCTAATTTTTATGTCGCTCCGGCAGCAAGATCCGTTGTGTGGAAACAAAGGGTCCGGAAGATACCGCATCGTGTCAGGCAACAGAACTGTGCCAACTCCCCGCTTGCCACTCACCTTCATCCTTCGGCTGTGCACAAACTGAACGCAACGTCTCACCTTCCTTGCAGCCAATGGTGTTCCCTAAACCCCCCCTGTGGAGAATTATCAAAACCGTAGACCAGAATCCTGGCGCTGGAGCCACTCCCAGTACTGCAGTTGATTTACAAACTAAGGCTGTGAACATTGCCTGCCGCTTAGGAAATTTGTCCTCCTTCATTCCAGCAACAAAGGAGCTCCTCGCTTGCAAATTACTCTCTCCTAATGAATTCAAGAGAAATTGCAAGAAGGTTGGTCAATCTACTGAATGTGATAGACAATCGCTGACCGACAAACAGATCATCGCCTTAATCGAGGTAAATGTGCAATCAGATAAAACATCACCATCATTTTTTTCTAACGGTATCTGTGACCTCTTTGTTACCATAAAGGTCGCTCGAAGGACCCTAATTTCGGCTGGCGTTCAAGTCTATGCCTTTAGTTACTGTTCTGAGCCACTTGCTCCGTGCAAAAGGGCGTACATTGATCTCTTAAACATGTTGCAAGAGAATCGCCACAACGTCGACGCCGCGCTGAATGGTAACATTCAGACACTTTTTTTTCGGTATACACCTGACTCAAACACGAGTAGCACGTATGCAAAGCCTCCTCGTGCCGCTTTCCCCGTCATTCATAATTCATAAAAGTGGAATCCCATCCTCCGTGGTCCCGCCTAAAAGCCGCGCAGATCAGAGGAAAGCACCTGCCACAGCATGGGGGCCATTTCCCTATACGCCTTCAACTGCCGCAACCACAGGGCCCTCCCTCATGCCTCGTAAGTCGTGTCATCTAATCCTCTAGATTCCGCCAGTGACTAAAAATATATATTTCAGCTCCTGACGCTTTTCCAAGTGTTCCAGACAAAGATAGGCAATATTCCAATTCCTTCCGGATCCAACGAAAATCGAGCAGGCCACGACTGTGGACCGCGGAAGAAATCCCCATACCCGCTGAGAAACCCGAGAAACGTCGGCGCTCCAGAAGTCCCTGTAAACGCCAAACGGATGTGGACCAAGAAAATGTTATTCCACAATCGCATCCGCGAATATACCGGCCTATGCCACGCCGTTTTGGTATTTTCTGCACGGGCAAAAGTTCCATGCATGGTCCGAACCCAGCTGAACGTATGGGGCGCCCGACGAATGTGCGGCCACTTATTAGAGAATGACACTGAGAACAACTGTTTTCTCCCTCCTTATTGTATTACTAGATGCGGGGATACGGATTGTACGGAGACGAAGACAAAGTCTATCTATCTCAAGGCTATCTGCCACTTCGAGACAAAAGAATTCATCCACAGTACAACAGGCGCATCAAGAGTCGCACGCATCCGTTTCACGTGGACAACCTCGAGTAGTATAGCCAGATACCCGGAAATACTTACTGGATACAGACCTCCCTTAAAACACGATATTTATTTGGGTCTGGAACCCATTACGACGACCCTTGTTCACCAGTCAAACGCTCGCCGTCAAGGTCCATGGAACGGCTTTCGATTAGGATCCAGCTGGTTTTATCGCCACATGCGGTACACATTAACAGCTTGCCATTGGGAGATGGTGTTTCATCTGGTGAACGCAAACTGTAAGAAATTTAATGTGTACCGCCGTGCCCGTGTGGGCGCGAGACTCTTGGGTCCTGCAGATAAATATAGCGCAATGGTCCGTTCTGCAAAACAAAAATGTCGGTATAGAAATTCATCGCCTGCTGGAGGTGAACCCAGCCGTTCAAAAAAAAAAAAGGAAAAAAAGTTTCTGACGCTCGAGGCGCTCAAATATCAAATACGTCAATCCTCGCGTGGCTCGCAAATACGCGACGCTACATTTCCAAAAACAAATACTAAGCCAAGAGTCTTTGGGCCAGTAGGCTCCAGAAAATAAATCCATGGGAGAAAGATTTCGTTTAATCAATGAACATCCCGCCTTCCTGCGCCGACTCCGTAGGTCCGATATTACTGGGTACCGGTGGACTCAAATTCCCAAACCTGATCAGATCCAGTTCACCCCTCCATCCTTTAAACTTCTGAAGGAGCACATTCTCCTCACGCGACCCACCCTGAGATATCTCTTCGTCTTCCAAGATGGATATCATATGCCCTATCGCCCGATCCACTTTATCTAATGCGCCACGCATCAGATATGGGTTACCGAGGTAGTTTTCGGGCGGTGTCGAACGGGGTGGTGTTGGAGAAGCAGCTATACAGAATATAAGTACTAACCGGGACATTTATTGGTAAGCGAGGACATGCCTTTCGAAGGATCGTTCTTCGGGAAGACCTGCAAATAATGTCAATAGAACGTCCCAAATTTCTGAAGTATACCCCACATACGGCGCCAGGATTTTCTCTTGTTGGGGAGGGAGGTATACCCGATATCTGACCAGGATATTTGGCTTCATCTAGAAAGCGCTCATTTCACCTCCAAAGCAACAAAATTAAAGAAACCACATACCTTCTCCCGCAGACATCGTTTTCTTTCGAGTTGGTTTGTTTCTGCAGAATGTGGGGAAAATTTAAGTTGTTCAGCCAATCCATGACGTAGTATGTGGCTTAGGTGGAGTTGCCAAATAAAGTGACGGTTATCGGGCCGTTCGGCTGTAACGATTCTCGAAAAAAAAAAAAAGAGTCCTCGTAGATGATGCAATTGATACAAAACCCATATACATTAGTCGACTTCTAATATGGTACCTCTTTGTACACTCCCCCAGCCTGTTCAAAGGCGGTGAGACATATGCCAGATAAAGAATTAGAGGATAGCCAAACTCACCGACAAGCCGCCAATGCTTTTCGATACGACGCGACAAAGCAACCTTCTCGCCAACTTCGGTACACGCTGGTGACGTCAGTTGGATTTTAGCCAGATCGGCTTTGACGCTAAGAACACGGCCTCCAGTAGAGGTTGAGCCAATGTTGATGAGGAGAAGCTCGTTCTTGACGAGCTTCGAGACTTTGGTTTGTTTCTTGTCCTCAGTCTTGACACCAAGCAGACGACGGAGGAGGAATAAGCTGATTTCCAGTTCTACGTAGCAGGGGTGAGTTGTGGTCGTAACGGGAAAGTCGATAGTACCTACCGGTATAGATTTTGGGCAGCTTCCCAACCTCACCCAAGACCTGTCCCACCAAACGATCAGCTCTGCACAGCGTAGGGTCAATCCTCGTGCCGACACCAATGAGGCCTCCCGGAACAGCGAATGACAAGAGATTGTTCTCCGCATGCAGAGACATGATCCTGCTGAAGATTGGTTTACACTTATTTCGTCCAGCACTGTCCTTCGTAACAATTCCTGGACGAATCTCAACCTCTTGGCCTAAGCGAAGGACACCCTTCAGAATGGATCCTCCAGCAACACCACCCTTGAGCTCGTCAACTTCCGCTCCCGGCTTGTTTACGTCGAAGGAACGGATGACAATCAATCGTGGATCAGAGGTGAAGTCTCGAACAGGTATAGGGATGCGCTTGACAATGTATTCGTTGACCGCGTCGATGTTGTATTTCAGTTGTGCGGAGATAGGAACGATGGGTGAAGATTCAGCGACAGTCCCTTTTGGCATATCAGCAACGTAACAAAAAAAGACTGACACATGACCACGGCGAACCTTTCACAAATGCCGATATGCTTTTCTGATGCTCGAGCGCCTGCTCCTCTTTGATAAGATCCACCTTATTTTGCAGGATGATTATATGTTCCAGTTTCATGATCTCTACAGCCGCCAGATGCTCCGACGTTTGGGGTTGAGGGCAAGTTTCATTTCCAGCGACCAAAAGCAGCGCGGCGTCCATGACGGCGGCTCCGTTCAACATAGTAGCCATCAGAATGTCGTGTCCTGGACAATCAACAAAAGAGACATGGCGGACAAGCTTCATTCTGTGCCCACATCCAGGGCGTTCGCATGGTGGGTTATCCTCCTTGTCTGAGCGGTAGGATCGGTAGCATCCTGGTCTTGGACATGCTTCGTTTTCGCATTTGTAGATCTAAGGGACATAGATATAAGAACCCAATCGGCAGGTAGTTGGTGTATAGAGCGGCGTACTTTTGCATTGGCGTACCCAAGCTTGATCGTAATATTTCGTACAAGTTCGTTCTTGAATCGGACGGTCATAACTCCTGATATCGCCTTGACCACCGTCGATTTCCCGTGCGCGACATGTCCAATGGTTCCTGCATGCTGTTAGTTAGATTCCTACATGTATGTTTCTGCAGTCGATCACCCACCTAAGTTTATCGTGGCCTTTCGTTACCAAAATTCAAATCCATTCATGATCGTAGGGTCCTAATCACACACCTGTTTTGATATGACTTCTGGAGAAAGAGGTGTCAAATTTTCGACGGCAACCTCGATTTTTGGGACATCTTCTATTACATCGTCATCGTCCTCATCCTCTGAATCGGAACCCTCCTCGCGTTTTTGTAGTGTTTCTTCGCCAGCCATATTCGACAAGATCTAGTAAGAGAGTGATTAAGGTTTCCTCGATCGCCAATCATTGACTCGATAGATTGAATCGGAGTTTCAACTATTTGTTTGTCAATGTCTCTTTCGGAGGTTGCAGACGTTCCAACGACCTCCGTTTTGCCTCCGTTGAACCTCACAACTATCATGTATCTGCCATTATTTGTCAGCTGTGTCTACTTCCCAAGATCGAGAAGCTCGTTGACCGCATTTTCCCACGCGTCTGGGGTTATAACGCCTGTCTAACGATTTTTGAACCTCTGCCGTCGTTGTTCCCCATCCTCTACTTTTTGGTGTAAACGCCTTGATACCAAGCAACGACGGACAGCGACCTTTCTATTGATTCTCGTGACTTGTCGTTTATCTCATCGTCTCTCCCAATGGCAAACCCTCCTGAGATGTCTACGTCCCAGTCCGCAGTGACTGTCAGAGTTTCCGCGTTACCGTCCTCAACGATGCTTCTCACATCCCGCTCAATGTCGCACGACGCGTTATCAGTGATCTCAAGCCCGAGAGTTCGCGCGCAGACGGACTCGGCTCTTCTCAACCTACCAGCCTCTTCCAGCCACCCGCTGAACAGGGTGTCTGCCAGTCCATCAATTAACCCGCCGACCTCCGCTTCTACCCCAGTTCTGTTGGGCGAGGCTCTCAAGTCAACCTTCCGAGCAAGATCCAGATCACAAGCAGTCTTCCCTGACGTCGCTCGTGCAAAGGCAGAGTGCAACTCAAACTCGCTTAGTGGGGTTTCCTCCTACTGGTGGAATAGGATTCAATTTCTTCCTCGCCCTTGGGAGGATCGATCGCAAGAGGGTAATGCTGTTCCCGTCGAACAGTCCGAGAGCTGGAAACGCACCAAAGAGGTACCGGGCATCCTTGATGCAAAGTATCTAAGCATATATGCTAATTTTTTGTCAGACTGTTACTCGGGCGACTGCTTCAGCTTTGGGTATCGTTGGACCTATTGCTTTGGAAACCTTGGCTGCCAGCGTTGACTTGCTAGAATTCGCCCCTGTTCCAGGGCTGCAATCCATCGCCAAGGCTCTGCTGAACATTTGGGAGGCCGTGCAGGAGGTCGATGTATGTATTTTGTATCTAACTAACGCATACAGTTTACTTGACTTGTCATAGACGAACCGTCTTGCCTTCCTTCGTCTTACCCAAAGATGCGCCACCCTGTTATTGTCTGTCCGAGATGAGATTCATGCCGCAGGAGATGCAGTTTGTGAAGAGCTCACGGTACCACTACGGAACATGGAAAGGTCGGTTCATTTATTTATTACCTGCAGCTACTGTGGCTTGTCTCATGGCAAACACCAGATCTTTCAACGAGATTTTGAGTCTAGCAGAAGTTCAAGGCAAGATGCCCTTTCTCAAGCGATACCTAAGAAGAGAGGAAACGGCGCGCGAAATTAGCCACTGCCACGTTGATCTGGATCAAGCGTTGACGTTGTTTTCTGTATGTATCCCCACCGTTTTGAGCACCATTATACTAATCATAAAATCAGACTTCAGTTCAAATCCGAACGCTCAAACTGGTTCAAAGTCGCGACTTCAATTGCTCAGAATGCTGCCTCGAACCAGTCTCAGAACGCAGCCCCAATCTGTCGTCGGCTGCAGACGCGACTCCTTGTGGTTCGACAATTACTACGCCAGGACTCCCGCCCTCTTCATCTCATTCATCTTTGGCAACTCCAACATCCTCAGAAACAATCTGCTCCTCGCAGACTACGTTATCGATCCTTTCGGCCCTCCGCGAGCTTCAAACGCTGCAGAACCAGAAGGATGAAAGATCCGATTTGCAGGACTTGCGACAGCTCATGAGAGCCGCATTGCAAACGGGGAGCGATTCTGATATGGTTTGCTTCTTGCAGATTGCCAGAGAAGAGATGCTTGAGGCCATCAAAACTCTTCAGCGGACCTTGGAGAGCGGAAATTTTGAGACGCCTTCTGGAAACCATGATGCTGATCAACCTGGGCATCAGAAAGATACTCTTCACCAAGAGTTCATTGAGAGTGGTATTGACGCTCTGAGACGAATGAGTAAAGGTGCTGAGACGACGACTCTACCAAGCTGGACCATAACTAAGTAATTCTTCCGCGGCTTGACACGTCTTTGACATCTGACGATTTGACAGGTTTGAGGTGGATGCCGGCCAAAAGATTGGCATTGGGTCTTTCTCTGATGTTTTCAAAGGTACCTGGAAGGGACGTACGGTCGCCATCAAAGTCCTTGCGGAATCCACTCCACAGAAGCTCTTTGTTCGTGAAATGGAGGTGTGGAAAACACTCAAGCATCCGAACGTTCTGCAGCTGTATGGCGCAAGCAGTGCTAGCTGCGATCCGCCTTGGTTCTTTGTCAGCCCTTACGAAAAGAACGGGAGTTTGGTGGAGTTTTTGAAACGAATCGCGATGTATCCCCCTTATGGTAGAGCGGATATTGGACTCGGATTGATCGTCGCGAATTTACCCAACTCGAGGAGTCGTGGCAGCTTTGGAAAGGGATGCGGGAAGGTGTTGAAAGAGGGGGACATATATCGGATCATGCAAGAGATTTCAAAAGGCATGGAGTATTTACATCGACGTGGAGTCTTGCATGGAGATTTGAAAGTCAGTTTTCTCGCTTATTCCAGTTCCACTGACTAAATCACGCCAGGCTTCGAACGTTTTAGTTGATGATGATTGCAGATGCGTCATATCTGACTTCGGGCAGAGCGAGATGAAGTCGGAGGCATCCCGAATCAGTGGTATACAGTTTCGTGGTAGGCATTGACCTCACTTTTGATATTTCTAAGGCTGACCGTTTCCTGTCAGGTGGCACTCTTCGCTGGCAATCACCCGAGTTGATGGGTGGCTTGAGTACCCTGACTCCTGCCATTGACGTTTATGCGTACGCCATTTCCTGCATTGAAATTTTATCGATGGGAGAAATGCCTTGGCCTCTGATGGATGACGACGCTGTTCGATTTTTTGTGCTGAGTAAGTATTCACGGTCCATCTCAAAGCCGCTACGATGAACAACATGCTTCGTCTGACAGAAGAGAACAGCCGTCCCGTCATTCCCCCCGACTTCACTTCGCCAGCGCTTTGCGAACTTCTCCGACTGTGCTGGCATAGTGACCCTAACGCCCGTCCTTCCTTCTCCACAATCATTGCTGCACTCCAAGAGCTGCGTGATGCTGCTGGTCCAAGTGGCAATGAACTTCTCACCCCCCAGATCCCGGAGCTGCCTGAAAATGAAGAGCATCTTTCTCCTGATATGTGTCCCACCACCCCCCAATCTCCGCGAACGTCTTGTAAGTGGCGCACATGTTTTTAAGTTCATGCCCTGACCAAACCCAAAGCCCCTACTTTGACATCTACCTCTGTGAGGTCGTCATTGAATGCATCCTTCCACAACTGGGACTTTGTCAAGGTGCCAACAGTAGGAACACCAACGCCACGGGTGGAGGAGGAGATCATCTCCAATGAAAGTCTGTCGATGCCTCAGCCTGTTTTGTATAAGCCCTCGTACCCGCCCAGCTCTACGACTTCATCCTACGCTAGCAGCACTGAGTTGGATTCCGATGAGGATATCGACGGTCCGCGGCATGATAGGTATGACTCCCCTACCCCTCAGGATCACACAGCTGTCGAGAGTCGGAACGAGCGCCGTTATCGTTTGTTGCTGAACCACAAGTTTCATCCTTCACGTAGGTTCTTTCAATTTCTTTTATGACCTGATTGCGCTGAACTTCTCGCAAAGTGACTCTTCCGTTGTGGGAACCGGTGTCAGTTCAGCTTGGCGACGTCGGCTACCTGTCCAAGCCAAGTGGAACCTTCGTCACGCTCTTCAACGCCTTCAAACCGGACAAGACTTCGAATGGTCTCACTGCTGGCATGCCCTCTATCGCTGGGTATGGCAACGTGTCCAGGGGTAGTCAGCGTCAAGACAAGAGAAATGCTGCACAACGAGGGATCGATGCGTTCTCTGGACTTTTGACCTTTCGTAGCAAGAGTGACATTCCTGTTTCGTACGTCTTTCGCGATTCCCCCCCTCCATTCGGGATTTTGATTGTGTCTTTTGAACGATTAGGCGACGCGAATCCTTTCTCCTCCGAGCGGGACACAAGTCGGCACACATGTACACGGAGACGACTGAGTATCAGTACATAAAGAAGCTCAAGGCTCCCAAAGCGTGGTTCAAGGCGAATGCGGGTGCCATACTGAATATTTATGGCGCTACGCATAATATTCAGAAGGAGGAGATTTTGTTGGGTGAGCTTCTCTCATCCTCCAAAGTCGGCCCAGCTCAGTTTCGCTGTTCTTGTTTAGTCATTGGTGCTCTTCAAACACCCAACTATGCCCTCTTTGTTAGCCACAGGCATCCAGACGGACAGGCGAGTTTTACTTTGTTTATAATTTGATACCAAATTGATTCCTTTTTTCGTTGCAGGCTCATTTCAATGTCTTTTCGTCTCAAAGAAAGGGCCAGCCTTGGGGAACGTTTACGACTGATACGAAGATGCCCGCCGAACAAGGTGGGCCATGCTACGACGAACCTATACATGAAGAACATATATCTGCAAGCAAAGTTTCGAGCGTGGGGTGTCCTCAGAAAGCCGTTCTCATCGCTCGGTTACGATTTAAGCCTGACGTTCTCGAGCCTACGTCCCTATGAGAGCGGAATCTTTCTGCTCTAATCTCGTTCCGCCTCGCTCTACACCGCGTACCTTTTAGACTATTCCCACATATCCTATACCCCCACCGCAATCCACGCCTCCTGTAAGTATTACCAACACTTGTACTATTTATGTAAGAATTATGCATTCTATATACAGATCAGCAACTACATTTTTAATTAAACGAACTAAAAGATGCCAAATTTGATCGAAATTACATTGCGTTCGAGCCTAAGCTCGGTGTCGTGCAGGTCTACGTATGGTAGCCCTATGTCGTCGACGGTCGTAATTAAGGGGATAAGTATAGATAGGTAAGCTCGAATCATGTACTTAAACAGACGCAGCTGTGCGATAGCCTGATAGTGTATTGCAACATCAAGACCGTATTCCACAAATTTGTGGTTCGCGGCGGTGGAGTTATGGTAAAAGGGATGAGTCACCGATATCCGACTCGGTGGTGTCACTGCTAGCAGCGCTCAAAAGGAATCTTTTTGTCCTCCGTGTGGAAAGCAAGCTCCCAATGGGGTCATATCGAACGACCTGGTAAGGTCGATCAAGATTCTTGCCACCTGAGCCAAGAAAACGCCGATGCATGCGGACGGCTCGATCCCTTGATTTATCCGATTTCGAGTCTTCTTGGATTTCGGGATTGAGACCGTTGCAGGAGAGTGTGCATCTCATCAATTTTGCGACGAAGTCATCCATTGGAGCAGAAGGGGAGGGTATCCCTGGGAGTGGCTTCGCTATTTGTTGATGATACCGAAAAGGTGTGAAGAAATTTTTCTGAACGCTCAAGACATCGAACATATAATCCAGATATTCGGAATGGAGTTCGTCTGCTAGTCTCTCCTGCTCCAGTGGAATGGGATGAACAGACGTTAGAGATTCAATGCGAATCTTTCCTTTGGAGACCATGATAGTGGTGTGGTCGAAGGAGTACCAAAGGCTCCGGCTCTGAATTTTGGCGATCGCTTCATAAACGTCGGTGCGATCGCTATATTCAACATACCTCCCGTACGCTGGTTCTGTCATGATGCCAACAATCTCACCATCAGAGTTTGTGACGTGACCAAGAACTTCGAACGTGAGGTCTAAACCTCGCAGGAGATTATGTGCTATGGGGGAGTTCAAGGCGAGAAATTAAATCTGGGGCGTTTAAGAACGAACCTCGCATTATTCGATCCAACATTCTTCGATACTTCTCATTCCATCCCATAAAAAGATCAACTAATGCCCTTGAGAATAAAGCAGCGTTGGCACCAACCAAAAATACTCACCCTCCTTCCCGTCCCAGATGCCCTGATGCTCTTCGGGAGAGATCATCTTGGTCACCAATATCTCCCTCTCATCAACCAAGGGCGCCCAAGGTGGAGTAGTAACCTGATACAGTTTTCTCTCCCTGTACACTAGGCTGTACGTCCCGTCTTTCTTGGTTATGAAGTACGCCCAGTTTTTTGAGCCGAACGGTATGGTTGAGAGGAGGGTTTGAATTTTCTCGATTCTACCGTATAGACCATCCTTGATCGCCTCGTCGATTGCAGGATCTTTGCCCCACGTTCCAGAATACTCTGGAGGAATTACAGACGGGCCCTGAACCACGAGGTTTTGGTTGCCTCTTCTGAGGCATATTGTCTGCCCCCCGCATTCCTCGCGCTCATTGTCGCAACCGACATAAAATGTGAGGTTGCTTGGGTATCCTTGACTACCAAAGGACATTGCCGGTCCAGGGCCCTATAAAAACCCTTGAGAAATCAGTTGGTAAATGGCTTTTGGTGGACGGAGGTAACGAGTCAGTGTGGTACGCGGACCCACAAAACTCTGATTAAAGTTGATCAAAGGTCTATATTGAGTGAGCGCTGTCACAAGGATGTGACGCCGTCAACCTGTCACGGCGTTGCAAGGTTCTCAAAAGGGAAATTACTTTCGCCGCCACACTCTTTTGTAAGAAAATATGAAGGAGAACACACCGAGAAACTACAATATCAACGTCTACACAAAAAGTACGATTTAACTAATTTCTTTGGGTGCGTTGTGCTGTCGAAGCCCTATTTAACGTCTTGGTTCTCATTTTTAAAAGTTCAAGTTATCCCATCGTCATCAACTCGCCGCAAAAAAAAACTCAGGGAACAGAACTTCTACAAGTATTTCCACTGACTTAATGCCCATATACGCACAGGTACAGCCTCCACTCCTTACCACACTTTCACCTCAATCGGCAATAATGAGAATGGCATTATTCCAAGCGCCGAGGACGTTTATCCTGGCGCCGAAGGAAGGTGCGTCCGTTATGCCAATTCAGTATGAGTATATAATACTTATTGAATACGCTGAAACTATGTTCTATGCCCCTTCCTTCGCGTCCTTTCCCATTCCCAGTATGTGCTTTACTTGCGCTGCAGATTGTCCGCGCTGCGGTCGACGACATATTCTAGTGATATCCCAGTGCAAGCAGTGGTATAGTACTGGAGGGGTGTGCTTTCAAACAAGCCATCAGTCCGACATGAAGCCGAAATCGGCAATATGTCCACCTTGCCTAGCCCGCGGTTGACTTGCCACAGTCATTGCCCACCATCTCATATCGAGGAAACGGACACACTTGTTGCGCTCCCATTCGTCTCGACCTGCCCTATTGCTCTGCTCCATCCCACCCCGCGCCTGAGATGTCTCCTCCTGATGCAGTTTACCTCTGTGCGTCTTCCTTGCTGGAACCGCATGACTCAGGTCAATCTTGAACGAGTGATGTTGTGCTTCCGTTCGTCACGTCGAATTTACCTCTGTCGTAAAAATGGCCGCAATCATTCCGACCCGCCTTGCAGCTCTGCTCCCTCCCCCTATCCCGCCTGGGATGTCTTCTCCTGCCTAGTTTACCTGTGCGCCTTCCTTGCTGGAACTGTATAACCCGGGTCAAATTTGAATGAGCGACAAATGAAATTCTGGCTCGAGATGCCGGAGTTTCTTGCAAGATATCGCCAGGAGCTCTCCGTCTGAACATCTCTCTGCTGCGCTTGCTGGCTGCACTGTGGTCTTCAGACTCAAAAATATTTATGTTGACGCGCTTTCCCTTCTGCTGTCTTTCTTCGCTCGCTTTCTCCCCTCCTGATCGCAACGTCTTTTTTCCGGCTTTCAGACTGGACAGTTTTTCTAACTAGCTTTTTGCTTCTCCAAACTGCAATGTATCCTTGGGTTTAATTGGCAGTACAGCACCTCGCAATATTTACAAATCATCTATGATACACACGGACGTTAAGTAAATTACATCCCTGTAATGTTTTGAAGTGTGGTGCAATTATAGACTGCAAATGGATATTTCGCTATCGGACGTGGCGTCGCTATTATCGTTTATCGGCAATGGCTTGTTGAGTGGGACTCTCTGCCGGTAAGGGTGGAAGAGAGTGAAGGAAATGATTTGTTCATTTCGTTTCCGATGGCAGGGAATAATTGCCTTCCTTGAAACTGCAATTCGCTTCGGGGAATCGAAGGGGAGGGGTGTGATCAGATCGTCATGTAATATTGTTTTCCGATGACGGCTGGAAGCTGTACCGTGATCACGATCACGAGAAGGCCTGGCAGGAGACCTGCCGTCGCATAAATTTCCATAAAGATCGTATATCCACGAATCGTGGTATCCATTCAAACCAAGAAGCATGTACGACATCAGCCGAGGACGCTCGGGGGATGGCGTCGGTGGGAGTAGCATACGCGGAGTCTGGTGCCAAAATCGCGGGTTGCAACTGAGAGCATATCCGCTTTCGAGTTGCGCAAAAATGATTTCTAGCTCCCGCCAGTGAAATATCTCTGCCTCGCGTTCCATCTCTGCCCTGTCGTCTTCCGAGTATGGACGAATTCCGTACAAATCCAAAAGGCGAACTTTGCCATTTGCGATGAGAACTTGACCGGTGCTGATACCAACGAATATACAGCCATGCTCTTGTAGCCGAGCGAATGTCTCATAGACAAGCGTGCGGTCGCCAAGGGCAATAGTTCGTCCCCAAGCAGCTTCGGAGACGATTCCCACTACTTCCCCGTTGCGTCCAACCAAATGACCATAAATTTCGAAAGTAAGGTCCAAATCGCATATGGTTCTAAGACCATACATCGCGCCTTCCACGCGCTTTAGCCACAGGTCATCCCAGCTGTAGTAAACATCTAGAAATCGTGTAAATTTGCTATTCTCCAACGAATAAATCTTGGAGCTCCATACCTACAGGTTTACCATTCCAAACACCTCGTCTTTCCGCCGCATCAACCCACTTGGTAACTTCGATTTCATCTTCGTGAATCAGGGTCGCCCAAAGTGGACAGGAAATCTTATGCAGGGGCCTCTCCTTCTGAACAATTCGATAGCCCCCAGAGCCTCGGATCAAGTATCCCCAATTAGTTTTTCCAAACTCTATGCCACTCAAAAGGCTTTGCTGAAAAACGATTCGACAGCGCTCAGTCGGATTTCTGATTGATGAGAAGAAAACATACAATTAAACCAAGTTGAAAATTCTCCTCTTGAAATAGTTTATATTGGAGTGCATTACTATTAATCCAGTTAGGATCCTCAATATCTTGAACGGTTTCAGCCTCTATAACCAGCAGATTACCATCTTTCCAAAGTACATAGCGATGGCTTTCCCAGCAGAGGCCTCCAATGAACGCCACCATGTTGCGAGGAATTACTCCTGACGTGCCTCCCATCACGGGTGTGTGTTGACGGAGAAGCTTCGCGTCCTGTGAGAGACCGGTGAAGCGGGTCACAATTTGTGGGTCCAAGTTGTAGAGGCGGTTAACGTTATCTGAAACGCGCGGGGTTCGAATTGTCGCCAATTATTGTTTGTGTCTGCTGTTAGCTTTCTCTGTTCTTTAACGCCGTTTTCTGGAGGAATTTGTTGACCCGACACTTGAACCACTACTGGAATGACTCCGAGTCGCAATTTTCATTTTCCTTTCAAATCCAGTGACCGAGGCCAGCTCTCGCTTGAGAATGGACTTACAAAATCCAATACTTGTCTCAACAACAAACTAAGGGTATAAAATCACTTTTCCCTCAGTTGTGTGATCAAGGTGTTGACTGGCTTTGGACATTTTTCGAACAGCCGACATGCCTCCCTTAGCAGTCCCAATAGCTTTACCTCTCTATAGCAGAACTCTGCTTTTCTTTCGGCCTTATTTTGGGACGGCGGGCGTTCGTCGTTCTATACAAGATCCCCAACTCTTCTCGAGAAGGGTACGTATATTTTCCTTCTCATCCTTGTTCTTGAGCTCGATATGTGTGCTATCCAGGTCCATCTTTGTCCACGCTGCAATCGTACATGGCCTGAAAAGGTCAGGGGATGTCCCGCCAATCCTGGTGGTACACTTTGCTCTACCCCGCAAGCAGTCAACACAAATCCAACGGCAAAGGTATGCCACCACTGTTCCAGGAAATAGCCAGTCGTTGCGTGAGTACTTCACTCAGTTTGAGGCGATCTATTAAGCATTGCCTATTAGAAATGCACCTGTCAGTGGTAATCAGGACGGTAACGGCGCGTACCGTTCTCAACATTGCTAGCCGCTCGTAGCTTCCTTCGAGCTCACTGGTGGACATTCCGCGTTGTGCAGGACTGGATGACGCTTTAGCCCTGTGAAGCTGTAACCCCGACACAACAAAATCTTGGCCTTGAACGGCTTGAATAGCGACGTACGCTCCCTCGGAGTATCCGGCAGTCTCTCAGCACTCTTCGGCACACTCGTCTTCCAAGTTTTTGGAACTCAACTCTCCTGGACAATCTTTTCCTGGGGCGACTCTTAATCGTTGCTGCTTGGGTCATGCTACTTCCACTTGGATGATTTTACGTTGGAGCTCTTATCTCTGGACTTATGGGATGACTCTCTGTGGTTTCTACTTCGGCTAATTCTAGGCGACGTAACTTCCATCCCGTCACATTCACCGCGCCTTGTTCCTTAATATCTCGCCAGCATTTTCTCTCGGTAATTTATTTCGTCATACACCTTAGTCACAGTCAGACATTTAGACCTCTCATGTTCCTGTAGGCATTTTTTTTGCATACTTTCCAGTAAATAACATTCACCTAAGAGAGTGTTTTATAAATATGTTTCAGGAGTGTGGCGTCGTTGGGCCTCTGGTCAAGTCCGGAGCATTGAAGGCCTCCGATTTATAGTCTGAAATGACTCAAATAGGGCCAACCAAGGGGGCACCACCAAGGGCCAACACAGTCTGAATGGCTGTGATATCCCCTGCTATTAGGTATGGACGACGCAGAATAGCCAGTTCGAGCGAAGACGAAGTCCTTCGAAAATGACTCCACTTAAGTTGGTTCATTAACCGGCTTATATAGAAACTCGTTACAGCCCGACCGGTATATCATTAAATCCGAATTTGAGTCGTTTACTGTAATCTCTGTAACCGTGATACTTGTGTAAACCTTCAAAAACCTCTGCACTTCATCATGATGACCTCAAGAACACAACAACGCAAAATCAAGATATCATCATCAATTACGCGTGGACAGATCCCAGATGAAACACTGCGTTCAATTCTTTGATCGTTCCGCCTGGAACGGCGACATCGCGGGAAATGGTTGCGTCTGCAATTCTGTTTATATTTGAAAAAACCTGTCAGAGGTTGCTAGGATTTGGAAAGGAGGACGGCGACATACACTAAATTAACAGAGGCAGTCAGCGTCTGCGTGGGGGGAACGTCGTCAATGACTTCAGGTTTTTCAGTGGTGGAGGTGAAAAAGACTCCAACAGAGCCGGCCTAGTCATTATATTCATATTCAATTTAATTCTTACGATGTAGAGAAAAAATAGACGCACAACAGGGGGTTGCTGGGCCCCAGCGGGAACCTGGACAGCTTCTTTGAAGGAGATGGTGGCCTTGCTCCCAGGGAACCTGGCTTGGATAAGCTGTCCAGCGAGATCGGCGCCAGAGCTAGCTTTCCCGTTGATGGTAACGACGGCATCCTTGGAGAGCAGGCTTTCGATTCTGCTGACAGCGCTAGCGGTATCGGTGTCCTGATAATCGCACTGAGATTGACTTCAGCCCATTGGGAGAGGGAGTAGACAACGGGGCCGGGACTGAAGGGATTGGAAGACATTGTGGATGAGTTGGTTGACCTGGAAATTAGAAGAGGGCACCCTTTATACCCAGCAGAACAAAAAACATGTACCAATACGAAAAAGCTTCCTGCTGTCGTCTGTCGAGGGGTACCGTCAGGTGTTCCTGCTATCGTATGTCAAGTGGCGCCGGCACCATGAATGCTCCGACTGACGTGCTCGCAGAACTGTTCTCCTGGTGTGAGTGATCATGGACGAAGGCGGTCTGTCTAGTTCCCGTAATTACAAGGGCCAGGGGAGTTCAACCAATGAGATTATTGTTTCGACACTCAAATGACAGGGTTACAGGACGGAGTTCCTGCTGCCAGGTGATAAGCGGGGAGAAAGGGTGAAATGCAAATTTGACTTACCGCAAACTACTGCGGCAATATGATCTTAATCGACCAGTTGATTCGATGCGATATCATTTTTTCAACGAGTGACAGGTGGACGCCATGACTGCTCCAACTGACGTGCTAGCAGCGATTTTTTCTCGTGGTTTGAATAAACCAGATGAACCCAGAATGAACAGTGGTCTGCACACTTAATCTGTCTCAGCATCGGAGGTGGTAAAACCGATGTAGGTCTGTCATCGTCCTGAGTATAAAAGGGCCATTCTGGGATGGAGTTCCTGTAACTTTGTGATCAGCAGAATAATGGGTTGGAATACAACTGTGCGTCCTATTTCGGGCTTGGTTGAAGAACAAAAAGTGCAAAACTTTGGCGTTACTTGCTGAGGCCGCTTAGAGAGTCACTTTGTTTTGAGCAAGGTCAAAACAAATCACAACACCTCCGAATTCTGTTTTCTTCTCCAAACTGTCGCTATCCGACACCATCCAGGACCAGGTCAGCACTCGGATGCGTCTGAAGGGGCCCGATGCTCTGCCACCTTGTAATTGCATTCTTTATTGTGTATCGAACCTGCTCTCTGCGCCTGCCACTGCAGGGAGTACTATGCAGACCGTGACGGAGTCAACAACTCTTCACCTCTCTGGAGTCTGCACTTGTGCAGATATCTGATATGGTGCCTATTCTGGGGGTCAAGAGCTGATCGAAATTATTTGCCAAGTCCTTGCCAAGTCTCGCAGGGCTTTATCTGATTCAAAATTCAACACTCTGATCAGCCACTGTACTCTCAGTGTTGTTCCTGCACCGGGTTGTCTCAAAGAAACTTGCTCAACGGCCTCTCTTTCGCTCCAGAGACTAGGCTTTGAAGTAATAGTGGGACCTGACTCAGGTGCTTGGATCGCGCATCCCCGAATTCAAGTCGGCCGCCTCAGGATATAAACCCATCTACCTGTCGTTCCCCTGAACTTACGCAGTATCACGAGCACCGCGCCTGTCAGAAATCCAAATCCGTCACTCGGAGACATCGCACCTGCGACTTGGCGTTCTGGATCGAGTGTAGACGGCAATGTTTTTCCCCATCTCTTGGAGACGTCTATAGAAGCCAATGTCTTGCTGAAACTTGGAACCATTGCTTTCCTCTGGCTTTTGGATCTCAAACGCACCATTTAACATTCACAGCTATGTCCTTTCCTGGCCAATATGTACTTAGAGCCTCTCCCTTTTCCGGAATCGGCGGCATGTTTGCCACTGGGAATGGCATCGACGAGGTTGTCACCACTGCTGCTGAAGTACCATCGACTTTTGACGCTCAATTTGTTAGTACCCGTCTTTGCGCGTCTTCTGTCTGAAAAAAACTAATCGTGCTGGTTTGCCACTACTAGTGGGATGTCATTGCCGTTGAAGGCAAGGAAAACGTATACACCATCGTTCAGCGCACATATAGGAGTGCTCCTGGGGGAAGCTGGTCCCTGCAGGAAAATTCTGCTGTTTACCCAGTCCCCGTCATCACTTCACAAGGGTCTGCCGAATGGCGCATCTTTCCATCCGAGGAGAATTCTGACGCATTCACGTATGTGATTTTTCAAAATGTTTTGAAACGTAGCTCATTGCGATTTTTAAGCATTCAACTAGTCACCACGGCACTTGGTGTGGACCGTTATGTTGGAACTAATGATGCCAACCAAGTAAGCAACTTACGTTCTCTCAACGCTTGATTCAACTGATCTTTTTGATTCATCCAGGTTGTCGTTATCAGCATTCCCGTTGTCGCTCATCCGGAACAGGACATACCCCAATGGAAATTTTTAGTGAGAAATTCTTAATAGGTACACAAATCTTGGAGGGTGGTCAAATTCGATGAAATATTGCAGTTGTAGAGAGATGCTGCAAAGCAACTGCAAAGTTCCAATTTAATGATATGCTCATTTACCGATTCGTGGCGGACAGACTCCTTCAAGTTGCTTTCAAGGGTAGCCTGTGGCGGCTCTTACGACGACCGCGATTGCAGGGCAAAAAAACACTTCAAAACATTCTCGTTCATTTGCAAGGTTTGGGTGCCTGTTTGGACAAAACACCTCGCAACTGTCCTGCGGGAATATACTGCAAATTCCAAAGTCCTAGCTTTCTACATAAGATGCCCATTCGTAGTTTTCGACGTACGCATCCATACACGGTCCAGAACGGTGACCCCGATGATCCTTGGCTGACCTCCCTATGATTCTCGACCACCAATGACCTTGATAATGTTTTCGTATACCGTAAACACAATTCCTCCACTCAGCTAACAAACAAAGTGAGATCACATCCACAGCACATCCGAGGCTAAGATATACTCACCACCAGTCGAGCCAGGCGGGGCGTCGTGCCAGTCCAAAACCGAAGTATACCCTCTTCCGTGAAAATGCGATATGCACAGTGGAAAGAATTCCGATATTGTGCACGAGCCTCTAGAGATTGCATCCGGGTTTTTATAACGCTATGACAGTTTCGTTAGGTGGGCAGCCTGAGGAAAGGAATCCTGCAAACGCACTCGAGGGGCATTGTTGTATAAACAGTGACGAGGCCCGCAATTCCACCGATGCCGAAAGTGATAGCGCTGGGAAGGGGTTGACCAGGCCGGGATGTTGATTGCACGAATTGCTTCAGCGTGGCGTAGGTCGTGAACCGGATGGCGGAGTTGGCGCCTTGTCGCATCATCTTGGAATCAAATGTCGAATCAGAACTAGAACGAGGTAGACATGACCAGAGGGAAAAAAAGACGCACAACGGGGAAAAGACCGCGATAGATTCCAAAGATGCCTTCTTGTCGCACGATGGATGTTGTGCCGTGGATTAATCCACGGTATTGTGGATTTGGGCGTTTGGCGTCATCGATGAGCTTTGTCCTAATAGAAGAAAGTTATGTTGACGCATTCGAGAAAAACAGTTTACATGCGTACTTTATTGTCTCCGAAGGCGTGACGGCGAAGATGGCCTCCGTCATCCCAGCTCCTAGCCCAGCTAACAGACATGTTTTCGAATGAGAACGCTACATTATGGGTACACTTCGTACCTAAAAGACTTCGGGGAGCGCTGACTTTGCCCTCAATGCACGATCGTTAGAATTTGAAAGGCAATTGACAATGAAAAAAAGAAAAAAGCTCACCTCGGAATTCGCCAACATCTGCTTAAAATGGTCGTAACTGACGAAACGTACCCCAGCCTTGACAGAGTTCCCAACCACCAAAGCCGTACATCCTGAGTAAAGCCCCACGAAGCCCTTGGTTTTTAGAGTATCCTTGATAATAGCAATAGGGCTTTCTCTCTATTTGACGGATCAATCGAAACACGGTCACAGAAGCCCACTATCTTGCCTCACCTTCCCGCCGAATTGGGACCGAGTTTTGACGAATTCCGTAGGGTATGTCAGGAATCTGCCAAGCTAGATCCCCTGAGCGGGATAGAAGGAAGACGAGTGGGGGAATGTGCTTACGCTTCAACTGCACCTGCAGTCGCGCCAGCAAACCTGTATCCAGTGGTGTAAGACGAAAAATAGACGGGGTAGTTTTGGATGCTTACAAGGAGTGTAGGGGTTTTTCCTTTTGGAATGGCATGGTCGACGTAGACGTGGAAGGGGGGTGACCAGGACCTGGAGGCGAAGAAGATTTGGCGGTGTGGATGGTAGCGGAGCCCGAAATCCCGATAGTGGCTACATTTATTACCGACTATCATGTCCAAGGTCCTCCTCCTTAGGGAACCATCGCAAGGGGTCCCAGATCGCTACCAAACCACTCTAACTTCATCCGGGTACCGCACGATCTGTGTTCCCGTTCTCGAAACCGTCCACACCAACCTCAACGCTCTCAAGGACATCATCAGGGAACCAAAGGCGTTCCGCGGTGTCATAATCACCAGTAGACGGGTCTGCGATGCGTGGAAACTCGCTTTGGCTGATTTGGCTGAATCTCCGCATGAAGATAGAGAGGGGGTAGGTTGGTGCGATTAACACGCTGCATCTCAGCGGTCAGTTGAGGCATCATATCTATCCAGCACGCTGGTCGACGGTGCCGTTCTATGTCGTGGGACAGGCCACGGCTTCGGCGCTGAAGGAATTGGAGAGTTTGTATGCCGGTATTGGGTTCTGTCGGTTAGACATTCGAGGGGAATCTTCTGGCACGGCTGAGCAGCTTGGTCACTTTATTTTGAACGACCGGACGTCGCGGTCTGGACAATTGCTATATCTCACTGGAGACAAGAACCGTGATACCCTACCAAACATTCTACCAGGCGGTGGAATTGAACTTCACCCTCTTCGTGTATATGAAACTCAGGGCTCATCTACCTTTGAGCAGGAATTGCTCGTTGCTTTGGAATCATTTCCGAAAGGTGGATGTGTATCTTCCTCTCTCTCTTTGCATCACGCTAACCATCTTATCAGATTATTCTGCATGGTGGATCGTTTACTTTGCGCCATCCGCAGCCGAGTTTGTGACGCCCATCCTTCGACGCCACTTCGACTTCTCATTGTCCGAGAAAACCGGCAGGAAAATGAAAATAGCTTCGATCGGACCTACTACCGCTACTTTTCTGCGTGAAGTGTTAGAGTTGCAAGTGGACGCGGTAGCTAGTAAACCCACCCCAGAAGAACTTGTCTCTTCTATCGTTGCCTTTGATCGGTCTCATGAACTCTAGCTCAACGGACCCGACGGAAGGCGCGCCGTTCTTGGTGAGCCGCATTCCGTTGACCACAATTTATGCGAATGCTTACTTTGGACAGTCGGCTCTGAATTGATTGCGTTGAATACAGATGCGTATTTTATCCGTCTACGCTCGCGTAGTCTGTGAAAGCGCCAGCGTCTTGATCCATGTTCGAAGACTTGAGCGCCTGGATATTCAGCGCACGTTTGACTTTTGAACGCTTTGAACCCATGGGTTTACTGGACGAACGTGTTCACTAAAACGTATCTACGGGGATCTTATCTATCGTAAAATAAGAAGAACACAGAGATAGGATTTTGGCTGCGAATTTAGACTAAAAATGCCAAGACTCTTACGATTGCGGGGTAATTCGTCATGTGGCTGTGCTGGAACCGCCTGACTTACGCGTGCCTCCTCAAGCTGTATAATTTGCGCTATCATATCAATCCCCTTTTACCATCTGCCATTCATCAGGCCTCTTGACTGGTCATTGACATCGCCGTCAACAACCAGGAATTCCTCTTTTAACCATCGGTCATGGTGAGCAGTCGCGTTTCATATCAACTCCTCGACGCGCACTGCAGGGATTCGGAGCCAATTTGCGGCTCTCCAGAATCCAGATGAACCCTGCACACCCAATCATCATGCACAAAAACCAATCTAACATATATTCAGCCGACTCAGGTTCAGAACCGGCCAACCGAATCTCCGCACTATGACAAGTTCGACCACGAAGCTCGCAAAAATCTGCAGCACAAGGAGGCCTTGAGGGTCGCCCTGGGTAGCATATTAGCACCCGTGAGTCATTGCGTTATTTACTTGACATCCTTGCGAATTTGCCGCTGAATGGCTACGTTGGCTCATTGGCAAGAAACGCTCCCCCCTCGCCCAAGGCTCCCGCTCGTCCTCAGGGACCGCCAGCCCGGCCTATCCATTTCCGCTTCCAGCTACTCCGCCTATCCCGCCCTCCACTTATGGAGGCAGTCCGATCGACTATTTGCATCCCATGCATGGGCTGTACCAGCCCCATCCACACACCCCGTCGCGGTTAGGTCGTTCGGTAAGCTCAACCTCTCCTACCCACCCCATCCACGGAACCCACAATTGTATCTCTTCATCCAGCAGAGCTCACATTCAAACTCACCGCGCGAAACCTCTGCGTCCAACTCCCCACATCCGTCGCCGCTACCAATCCCACCAGCTGCAACAGCAGATAGCTCTTTACCTGAGCCGGAAGGGTTATCCCCGCTGCCGCCTAGCGCCATGTCAGTCGAGGGGGCCGATGCAGTCCCGCGTGTTAGGGGCGTCCCGCCACCCCCGCATGTGGTCCGTCCCACACCTATGCCTGTGCAGAGCGGAAGGAGGCCTACGCCTCCCAGCCTGTTTGCGGGGGATGGGGGCAGTGTGCCGCCGTCTGGAGCTGCCACCCCCAGGGCCAAGTTTCTCGAGACGTTGGGGTCGAAAAGCGCTTGGGATGCGTTGATTCATGGTTCGTTTTCTTAATTTTGTTGAGGTTAGAGGTATGTGGGACGCTTTTTAAATGTTGTATCGTGTACACCATGGAGTTGTAAGCTTGTGCGGCTGTAAAGTTTTAGTTGTTGTACCTTTTACTTTTGTCGTTCTGTAAAATTGTAGTTAGTTGTTATAAGCATGGGTTTTTGTTTCGGTTGATGAGTCTTCTGTGACTTCTGCTCACAGTAGCGACGAAAGCGCATCCGAATCCGGGCCACTCAAACAGCAAAAGTGAATACTTACGACCTCTTCCCTATAAAGCTTGCGTACATGGTAGAAAGTTTACTCAGAGCGTCCACAGCGGTTGAGAATCATTCCTTTCATATAGTTTAATGGCTGCCAATTTCATCTTAGGCGATATTTTCACTATGCAAGCAAAAGTGAAAACGCTCAAAATTTGCCAAGTCCTATTTTCGCGTTACTGCCATCATTTTGTAAGACAACTAAAAGCAATGTACTTTTATTTGAAGTTGGCGGCGGGGATTCAGATTGGAGTACAGAGTAACAAAACAAATAACTGCTCAGAAAAGGAACGGAGAGCGGGAACGCTAGGGGGTTGAAACGTAGGCTGTTGGTTTAACTGCGACATAACAATGAGCAAGGGTTAACCGGGGGAAAATGAACAGACATCATCTAACACTTACTCAAAAACACCCCAAGTCGTCCAGCAATCTGTCCTCGTCGCTCTTGAACAGGAGTATCCTGTGGCAAAGAAGGGAGTCCTAAACTCTCAGCTGAAGCAATACACTGAGATACTGCATGCACGGGCTGGAACGTAGTTAGAAAGGGGTATAGCATTCGATTTGGATAACGCCCTGAGGGCTCACCGGTAAAATTTGAGAAGTTCTTCACGGTTTCGTGGGTTGGGTTCGGTGAGCGGGAGGGGGTAACCATGTTGCTTGATAGGAGTTGGATTAAGGAGAGTTCCCTGGTCGCTCGTTTGAGAATTAACAAGAATACACGGAAGTTCGTGGATCTTCTGCATGAGCTCTTGATGCGCCTCGTGGATGGTGGCTGCGAAATTGTCCATGTCGCCTTCCAAAGCTATAACGCTGTTGAACAGATTGTTTCCGAAGATTTCGAGGTTGGTCTTGAAATAATCGCCCGCCGCTCCAACGATCGCATGTTGTGGTTGATCTGTGAGTGATCTTTGTGCTTAGCACAGCTGGAGGACACTAGGCGGATAACTTACCATTAGATATATATATTCAAGCCAGTCTCGGAGATTGATGATGCCTGCTGGAAAGCCTGCAGGATAAGCTCGGACTGCATTCAAGGAAGATACGGGAGAGGGCGTTTATTGCGAGGGCGACTTGGGTAAGGTGGAAGATAGCTCGGTTGGTTGTCACTTATGAGACGTCCTATGTTGACAGTTATAAAGCCTGTTCGAGTCCCCTATCTTGTCGTCAGCCTCCAGATCGAGTGACCTTTTTTATCGAGCGAAGCCGCGTTAGGCTCATGACCAGGTTATTAATGTCACTCTCGCCAACGTTGCGCGATATCCCGTATGAAGTCTGAAGCAGAAACTGTGCCAAGTAACTCCAGTCAATTCTTGCCCTTCGTCAATCTGAAAACCTTCCGAACCGGGGTGTTGATGGCAGTTGTCATTCTGCCTCAATGTATCAGAGCTTGCTGGGCCGTGAGAGGGCTCAAATTGAGGGGAAACCCTTGAGAGAACTTGAAGAGAGAGAACGGGGCTTTTACAGTTAGAAAATGGTGATCACGTGCACAAATTGTTCAAGCCCCCCTCTCTTCAGCGATTTTCTGGAGCTCTTGTTTCTAAAATAGCCGCTATGCGGCATGCAAGTGGTATCTCTTCTCTCCCGCTCTCAGCTGAAGCAATACATTGAGGTACTGCATGAACAGATGTGCTCAGAAAGGGGTAGCATTCAATTTGGACAGCCTGAGACTCACTTCAGCTCCTCACCTCCCCGTCGTCCTCAGAGCTTCTGCAAGACAAGTTTGACGCTTATTCGTGCTCGTACATAGTTTTCTTTCCATAAAGCCGTTCTACTACGATCTGACTCGAATTCCTTCGCAGATTTCCACTCTCCCTCACTGAGTCACTGCGAAACCCGAAGGTTGCCCCGCCTTCGTACGTCGTCGCTTACCTTCCATGCAAGGGTTGAACGTTGAACGTTGAACACTGATCCGTGTTTTTATTTTCTGCCCCATATAGACCTCCGCCCACTATGTGCGCGCCCTTATCACTCTCATTTATCTTGTCTTTCCTTACTCGCTGCACATTTAGCTTTATTTGAGCAATGTCTTTGGACAATCCCTTTGTCGCGCTTGAGCCAGCCATTATAGCCGCTTGCGCCAACCATGAGAAGGACAATTTCACAGTGCCTGGCTACAGACGCCTCATCAGTTTCGCCAACTACATTATAAAATTTGGCGACTCCCGGTGCTTCTCCTCCGAAGTCCAAATGCACGACCACTTTGCTAAAGTTACCGAAAAGGACCTGACTGCGCCACGCGTGCCCTTAATTTATCACAGCTTCAAGCATGGACACCTCACATTTGCCATTATAGAGCCTTTACAGCTGATTCCGGTTGCGGAAGACATCTTTGTCCAGAAGGTGGCCGATGCCGTTCTTTGGATGTATAGCCAGACATGCCCTGCTGGTGTCACGCTCGGCCCTCTGGGATCGGGCTTCGCGTGGCACGAAGTCTTCAAGGATTATCGTGCGCCGCTGCCGTTCACGAGCATTGTTGCCTTGGAAAAGTATTTGAATGTGGTCTGAGCCCGTCTTGCTCCATCTTTACTCGCCTGCTGACCTCTTACATCTTTCGCAGGCTGTTTCGCTGCAGCAGCGAAGACAGAAAGATCTAGCCAATATAAGCATCTCTGGCGAGCGCTTGATGCTCACTCAGTCTGACATGGATCCCAGCAATTTCGGCATCGATGATACCGGGCGAGTGGTTATATTTGATTTTTGCGAGATAGGCTGGCTGCCGGAATCTCTTGCCAACTATACGCTTCTCTGCACTGGGCAATTTGCCTCCAAAGTTGGTGCGCGCGTGTTTGGCGACCACCTTGACTCTGTAAGGGCATCGTCCAATCTGGCTTCGCTGGTCCAGGTAAAGGTGCTTCTATGTATGGCAGCCAGACCCACCCTCGGTGCGTCAATTTTATGATTTATCTAGAGTGTCATTGAGCATTGCTCATAGGTCTCGACAAGGACGGCAACCGTATCAGCAAAAATGATGGTTCCATGGTGGGCCGTGTATAGATAGATATATTGCATGTCCATGCAAACATACTACTCGCTTCAAGTGTGAATCAGGGTGGTAGTCAATAGGTAACTAGGATTGCAAGCGCAAAATCATGTCTCCAGAACACAATTTTTCAAATCTCTCTCTCAGAATTTTGGCACGCATATTGATTGTGCACAATTGACTTGATTTATGATTTTGCAGCGCTTCCACTTTGTAATGAGATACCACCTTTTATTCCCTCACGATAACATAGGTGGTTGGGTAACGATGAGGACACGTACTCCACCTGCCTTCCGCCTCTTCAGTGTGAAACATTTAATACTGACAAAGAAATATCATCATGCCTTGTTTGTATCCACTACAGCCATTACAAGGGAAGAGCAGGGATGAAAAAAACAAGCGAAACGTGCAGATGAATCTGCCTGGTACCAATGGTGCATTGCGAGTTAGTGACTGGGAAAGTTGGTTCTGGGTTATCATCGTCTCAAAGTAAATCCTACAGTTTGAGGCCTAAGAGCGTAGCGAAAGAAGGAATTTTCTGGATTTTATCCCGGCATGATTCAGTCACGTCTTCTACGAATGGGCAGATAGACTTTTCGTATCCCCTAGACTGGTCATAGTTTCCGTTGTGTTGGCAACACTTGAGAACAGATTTCAGATACTTAGTCTTGGGAGACCGAAGAGTATCTTGGAGAGTTTGCAAAGAGTCGATCTCCTCTAGGTGTGTAGCGAGTAGGTTGAGAGAAGCGGCACAGGTTGTGCATATGCCGCCGCGGGGGTTATGCGTGTAAGAAGAGTGGCAGCTAGAGCTAATTGAGGGATGGTTCCTGATATACAAGACCAATTCTTTGAAAAGCAAGGTCCAGGCCTCATGGTAACGAGCCTGGTCAGACATGAATTACGAACTTTTCTTCTTCAAGGAAAAAAACGTACCCATGGAACCATATATGACGGAGGTAACTTTTCCATAACTGGGATCAAAGGTGCCCGAGCGAAGTGAGGGAGGGTTGCACTAATCAGTCGGGGGTAATCGTGCTTGACTGCGTGCACAAGAATTTCCGGCGCATGTTGAGGTAGGAAATTTCTATAAACATGCAATAATGTCATCGATCACACCGTGACGTGAAGAGACATAACGACATACAGGAGTCGCTCGTTGCAGGTGGACGCAGCCGAAAAAACCTCATACTTTCCAGCTGCTTCGGCTACCGCAGCAACCGTCTCGAAGGGCTCTCCGTGTAGATCCGGGTGTGCTTTGGGATAGAGGAAGGCGAAAAGGATGCCAAGGACCTTTGCAGGCTCCGTGAGTTGTACCATTTCTCCATCGGTCTCGATTTCGGAACCAGGGAAAACGCCAGTCGTCACTCCTAAGACGACGCGATGTAGTTGGAATATAAAACCATCTACTGAACGAACTTCGATATCGGAATCATGGAGAGAAACTTCCTTGCAAATTAATATCAATGAGAAGTTCCAAAACAAGAACTTTAGGGAGAAGTGAAAACTCACACTTAGTGTTGACCCATGGCTGCTCCGCTGTGACATTTGTGTCAAATGGCTGAGAGGCAAGATTCGTCGTTGTATCCGAGAACATCAAAAGGTTTATAGTGGCCATGGGGTTATCAAGATATCGGACGAAGTGTTGACGCAAATGCTAGTAGTCCCTTCTATACTTATATGAATGAAGTCACTGATGATCTCGAGATAATCTTGATAGCGAGGAAGTTGGTTTTGTCGTAATGCCGGCGGCAGTAGAGGATCCCGGCGCTAGGTAGACTCGTAAACAGCCATCGAATGAGGGAGAGGTGAGCTTGGGGTAGAGAAGATCCAAGTGAACGGCCTGGTCATTATATATACGTCCAGAAGCACTTCAAAATTTCAAAATTTCGTCAAATTGAGCTTGGGGATGTCGTATCGTATCCTGGAGGGTCGCAAGCCTTGAGGCTTGAGCGCTTGAGCTTGAATGTCGTCTTTTAATCTCTGTGGTTGAAGTTCAGTGGTTTGACATCCCCGGGCCGGACGGGTGACGCCGGGCGGTCACCCGCGCGATGGATTGCTCGTTTTGGGAATCCACTGCCTAAAAATCTTCTCCTCCACCATCGCACACAATGGAGGCCTTTGAAACGTATCAAACGCCTCTTTCCAGGTATTCCACCGCCTCGTCTCCTCGTCCAACGATTTTCTGAAACAGATCTTGGCTTTGAAATAGCCGCTATGCAAGTAAAGAGATGTCGTATCTCTTCTCTCCTGCAGTGCGTAACTACCCCTTGATTACATCTGGAGAAACACTCATTTTTCGTGTGTGTGGTATAAAGAAAAGGTTTTATACATGGAGGAAGTTATGGCTCAACCTCGCTAGAGCCGAGAAACAGCTTGGTCTGCCTATATCGGATGAAGCTCTCAAGCAGATGGAGGATAACCTCGTGCGTTTGCTTTCTTTTCCTTCACACTCACACCCCCAACCGTGAATTTATGACGCACGGGTAGCACCTTACCCCGGAACAATTCGAGATCGCAGCCGTGGAAGAGAAGAAACGCCGCCACGACGTTATGGCGCACGTACACACCTTTGGTACGGTCGCCCCCGCTGCGGCTGGGATCATCCAGTACGTCAAACGCCTTCCTCTCCTCCTACATTTCCCTCTCTCTGAGTCCGCATCACATCCATACAGTCTTGGAGCAACCTCTTGCTATGTCACCGAGTACGTCATTACACACCCCTGTACCATACACCTTCATCAAACACACAAAACAAAACCAGCAACGCGGACCTCATCTTCCTCCGAGAAGGCCTAACCTTCCTCATCCGTTCCCTGAGCGCACTGATCTCGCGCCTTTCGGCATTTGCGGCGCAGTACCGCGACCTCCCGACGCTGGGGTTCACACACTTCCAACCGGCGCAGCTGACGACTGTGGGGAAACGCGCTACGCTTTGGATCCAGGTAAACATTTTCGTCCCCTTGTTTGACGTGGTGGTAACGTTTTTTTTTGGGAAAGGAATTGCTCTGGGATCTGAGGAACCTCAAGCGCGTGCGGGACGATCTTGGGTTCCGTGGCGTCAAGGGTACCACTGGGACGCAAGCTAGTTTTTTGGCGCTTTTCGATGGAGACCATGATAAGGTGTGTTGTTTTTTTCATTACCTGACACTCACAATTTTACCATTATTTCAAGGTCGAGGAGCTGGATAGCCTAGTAACCAAACTCTCTGGTTTCGAGTACGCCTACCCCGTCACCTCGCAGACGTACTCCCGCAAAATCGACGCAGACGTGTTGGCGCCCCTTGCTTCTCTCGGTGCGACGGCGCACAAGATCGCTACTGATATCAGGCTCCTGGCGAATCTGAAGGTATATATGTGGTTTCTGTCGGGCCTTCAATGTGCTTTGGTTGATGTGTGTGCCTAGGAAATCGAGGAACCATTCGAGAGCACCCAGATCGGCTCGTCGGCGATGGCGTACAAGCGTAACCCGATGCGCTCAGAGCGTGTCTGCAGTCTCTCTAGGCACCTAATGGTACTACATCAAAATGCGCTTATGACTTCTAGCGTGCAGTGGTTTGAACGAACTTTGGATGATAGGTCAGTCTTATTTACATCAAGAAGAAGGATGGAATTGTTTGAAACGAGTTGTTAGCGCGAACCGCCGCATTACCCTCCCAGAGGCGTTTTTAACGGCGGACATTGTCCTGTCGACACTGCAAAATATCTCAGAGGGTCTAGTGGTGTATCCTAAAGTTATCGCGCGCCGGATCGCGCAAGAATTGCCTTTTATGGCGACTGAGAATGTTATTATGGCTATCGTGAAAAAAGGAGGGGACAGGCAGGAGGCGCATGAAAAGATTCGGGTTTGTTTTTCGCGTCTTGCCTCCCTCCTCATTAATTCTGATTTCTTCCCCTACTAGGTCCTGTCACACGAAGCCGCACACCAAGTCAAGCAACTAGGGCTCGAGAACGATCTCATCGACCGGATTCGAAAGGACGCGTATTTTGATCCTATCATGGCAGAGTTGGATAGTTTGTTGGATCCTGCGAGCTTTATTGGAAGGGCACCGGAGCAGGTGGATGCGTTTTTGAAGGGGTGGGTTGTCCCTGCGCTGGCGGATAAGGAGTCGGCGGACGCGATTAGGGGGGGAGGAAAGGTTGAGTTGGCTGTTTGATTTCGTCGTAAGAATTGAAGGTGTGTAAGTACATTGGAAGGAATAAAGAAAATGTGTAAGTAGGGTATACCGCATGGCTAGAAAAGGAAGTTTTTCAGCCAATCGGAGAAATGGCTCATAATTCACACAGTCACGTTACGTTGCGCAGAAAAGCCTCACGTAAGAAAGTTGGTTCTGCTCCTCGACCCCCATCTTCCTTTCTTCCTCCCTTTACCATGTCCCTTCAACCCTTCTTCCTTGCTCCTCCTTCCTTCAAGTTTAGCTCAATGACGATGGCGGCTTTTCCCCGCTAACTTGGCCTCGATATGCCGGGCCAACCTGCGTGCGGGACATAGGCACTATCGCGAAAATGCCTCATCTTCGCTGTGTTCGAAGAGGCGCTGGGATGCTAGTGCGGAACTACTGGTTAAAGCATCTTTTATTGGTTTTTGTCATGTGGCTTCCATGCTGGTATGTCTCGTGTCCCTCCACGGTTCCTTGGGTTCGCCTGCGGCCCTTCAAGATATTTTTGAAACCAAAGGCAACTCCACACCGTGCTCGGCAGTCCTTCACTTGGTTTCGCACTACTGGTCACACCGTTTTTCATCGGACCGTCCACTCCTCACCCTTGTGCCTCAGCCTCCACGGGGGTATGTCACCGTTTCACATGGCCAAGCTCCCTCAAGTTGACATGGGTCACACCTCCTCGCTCCCCCAGCACACGCACGGACCTACCTGACTCGGGAACGCGGTCTGGAGCGTCGTTGCTGGCGATTTAAATCCGGGAAATCACTTGGCTCTATCAGTATTTGTCAGCGGCACTTTTGTCCATGTGATCGGACCGCTTCCAACAAACACGCTTCCTCTCTAATAACAACAAAGTTCTGTGGTCCCCAACATGAAGTTTCCAGGCGCCGTCAGCTTGTTGTTTTTCAGTGGGGTGCTTCTGGTGGCGGCGCATAGCAGCAGCGATGGGATGGATATGAGTATGGATGGGAGTATGTCTCTTGCGTCGGGGAATATGGTCCCATGGCTGCATTTCACACCTGGGGATGTGCTTTGGTTCCAGGGATGGGTGCTGAAGAGTCCTGGGGCGATGTTTGGGGCTTGCTTGGGCCTGTTTTTGTTGGCTATTGTTGAGAGGTGGATAGCGGCGATGAGGAGTTTGGCAGAGGCGTATTGGAGGAAGAGGTGCGTTTCCCCATTTCCACATGAGGGATAGGATTGAATGGGGCACGACTTTTTTAGAGCGCAAATTATCGCTAGGAGAGAGCTGGTTGCTGCTGCAGAGGATAGCGAAAAACCGCTAAAGTCTTCGACTCCTTCCCGCATCATTGGATCGCGAACTGCGCTGCCGTTCATTCCCGCGCACGATATCCCCCGCGGCCTCTTACACATGGGTCAAGCAGCGTTCGGTTTCGCATTCATGCTGGCTGTCATGTACGTTTACGTTAATGTTCTTCTTGATCGGTAGCAGCGGCTGACACGCGTTTAGGACATTTCAAGTAGGATTCATCCTGAGCATCATCCTTGGGCTTGGAGTTGGCGAGATGTTGTTTGGGAGATATATTATCATGGGTGCTTCACACTAACTAGGCTTGATGCAACGGGGTGATTTGACGATGACAATCTGTATTTTTTATCTTGATGGAATTTATGATCATGTGGTTTCTGGAATCTGCGCAGCAATTTGGCGAGCGTAAAAGAATTTTTTGACTTTCATTATCCCTCCTACACCTCTCGTTTGCTCTGACTGGGAGAGATGCCAGATACGGGCACACCTCCTGTCATCCCTGCCGATCTCCAACCATACAAGTAAGCAACGCTCCGTTTTCCACCCCTAAGTAACTCATCACCCTTCCCCAGCTCGTACGTTCAGGACCCGAAATGGCAGCGCAAGTTCTCCATCATCTGGCCTTCCGTTCTCGCCTTTTTCGTTCTTCTCTCCTTGCCCCGCGTTATTAGGGCCATCAAGAAACGTAGGGCGTTCACTGGTGTTTTTGGCGTTTGGGAAGATTTGGGTGGTGGTTCGTCGACCAGGGTGTATGAGTCGCTTGGCGATACGCCTGTCGCCGGTGGAAGGAAGAAGCGGTGGGATTCCGGGGTTGAGAAGTTTTTGAGTGTCGTTGGGAGTGTTGCGTATTGGAGTTTACCGGGGTTGGGGTTGAATGCTGCGCAGCGTTTGTGGTTTTCGTTGTTGTATATGCTGTTCTGACCGTTTTCTTTCAGTCGTACTTGTGATTGGGTACTTGGTGACTGTGATACTATGTATGGTCCTCCAAGCTCCCCTAGCGAGCAACTCGAATCGCCCAGGTCCGCTTTTATTTCCTTCTCCAAACCTTTCCTTACCCTATTTCAATCAGGTTTCATCGCATTAGCGCAATTCCCCGTAGTCTTCCTATTCGCAACCAAGAACTCCATCGTCTCCCTCCTCCTCGGCCCAGGGAACGGGTACGAGAAGCTCAACTTCATTCACCGCTGGTCGGGAAGGGCCATGTTCTTCGGTGCCCTCCTCCATGGGTCGCTGTGGATCCAGAATCATCTTACGTGGAATTTACCCATTTTGGGTCAGCAGAAGGAGACCTCGGGCGTTGCTTCCCTTGGGTTGTTGGGCGTTATTGTGTTGAGCAGCTTGAGGCCTGTTAGGAGGTGGTTTTATGAAGTTTTTTGGATTGTACAGTGGGTCTTTTTCCTTCCCTGTGTTGGCGTGTGGCTGATGAGCGTGGCTGCGTTGTAGTATTTTAGCGTTCGTTGCGTTTTTTGTGACGATTTGTTATCACACGATTTATGCCTCGCCGTGGATATTCCCGCCGTTGGCGTTTTACGGTGCGGATATACTTATGCGGATGTTCAGAGTTCGCATCAAGGATGCTTTGCTCGTCCCTATTGACAAGCAAATGACGCTAGTCAGCATCGTCTTTTTTCCCTTTCTTTCTATCCGGACTGAACTCGTCTTGGTCAATAGATCCATATCCCACATTGCACAAGTGGGTGGACGGCAGGCCAACACGTCCGCCTCCGTGTCTTTTTCTCTGGACGGATCTTTGAGTCTCACCCGCTAACGATCCTCTCTGCGCCTCCGGACGTGTCATGCATCGCTCCGGCTTCTATGCCGCAAGGGATCACCCTTGGTGCGAGGGTCAGCGGCGACTGGACGCGGGCGTTGAACGAGCATGCGTTCAAGGAGGCAGAGGAGATCAGAGATTTAATGATACCTGAGAAACAGGCCACGGACAAGGAGAAGAAAGTCGAACAAGATGATGATGGCGCGACAAAGTTCCCGGACGTACCTGTGCAGGTTATGTTGGACGGCCCGTATGGTGGGTGTAGTGTCGATCTTGGAGATTATGAGAGTGTGTTGCTGTTTGCTGGTGGTGCTGGTGCGACGTTCACTATTGGGTTATTGGACGATATCGTTGGGAGGTGTGTTAGGCAGAAACGATTCCGTGGGGAGAAGACGCGGAGGATCGAGTTTGCGTGGTGTGTTCGGTCATTCGGTATCTATCCATCTTCATTCCTAGTTGTCTTGAACGAGAAAAGCTAACTGTTCTTTTGCACAGGTTCAATTGAATGGTTCTCCGCCGCCCTAATGGACATCGCCACAGCTGCTGCGTCTCCCTCTTCAGGTCTAGATCTACACATCTCCGTGTACGTGACGTGCTTGTGTAACCCGGAAGCGATACCCCCCATCCCGAACTGCGACGTCACCATGGTCCGACCGTCGATATACCGCGTCTTGATGGATTTGATGACCCCTCCTCCTGCATGTTCATCTCCCTCTTCTCCGGTGGTGGACGAAGACGCGGATGTGGAGCTGGAGCTAGACCCTCCGTCGAATAAGCTTGCGTGGATTGGTGCGGGGGGCGGGCTGGCGGTGTGTGCTAGTGGGCCTGAGGGGCTCACGAGAGAGGCGGCGAATGCTGTTGCGCGTTTGAAGTTGACGAAGGTTGGGTGGGAGGTTGGATCTGTTGGGCTGCATACGGAGGTGTTTGCTTTGTGAGCCTTGTATAGAGGAGACAACTGTCTTCTTGGATGCAACACTTCCTCACCTCTCGAGGAGAGTTGGAGTCTCTTGGAGTAATGGCCGGTTCGAGTTTATTTGCCAAATTATTTACATGTACGTATTTTTGTAAAGTAGCGGCCTCATATATGTATCAAGAATGACACATCCTCCAGCTCAAAGTATTAAAGTATGGATGGACTTCACTGCATTCTCATTGGTTGCTTGGCCGCTGGCGGTGCTCGCGTATTTGAAATGCATGGGTTTACCAAACTCTCAAAATCAGGGCTTGCGCAATTCTGGACGGTTCCTTGGACACCAAGCTCGATAAACTCCACCGGGCTCCCACACAAGATTCCTTGGGTTGAGGATCAATGGGCCAAGATGTGGCATCTGTGCTGCGGAAGTCGATGAATATACCAAGAAAATGTACAAGAACTCCAGGCAACAAGTATAAGGACTGAGAGTTCTTGGTAGCAGGGAGTTCTAGTTGTAAGTGAATTTCATTATGGACATATCGCGACTTATGTATAGCCCATTGGCGTTTGCGGAAAGGCTGGGAGAGCTCAACCCCATGGGCATAGAGAAAGTTGAGGACCCTATAATGATCGGATTTTCACGGACGCGTCGCGTCACCAAATCTGTTCCTGTGTTTTTCTTTTTAACCGACAGCGAGTGGCCATGGCATCCACCAAGCTTCAGCAGCTGATCAATGAAAGGACCAACTGCAATGTGCACGGTTTTAAATGCTCAGCGCACCAGGCGAGCGTGCCACGCATGTGTTTTGGGGACCAATACGTAACGCAAGGGTCGCGTCTTCCAATGCTTCTAGGCCAAGCTGCCCTGTCGCTTAGCGATATTTATATCCTTCCAAGGGAACAAGTAACCAGTCTTTTGGCTTTGGCAAATAATTTCTCTTAGTTCGTACGTGTCCCACAACACTCACCAACCAACCACTCATTGGAGTTAAGTTACCCCTCAACCAGCCCAAGCAGCTAGAGTCTGCTGCGCTGTCTCTCTGAGTTCTTGTATCTCGGGCAACTCCGTCCATTCGTTCAACACCTTTACTCGCTTCAGGCGATTTTTACATACGCAACATTAATACTCGTTCAGCATGAGCCGTCCCTATGCACAGAACAACAATTCTACGTCGGCCACCAGCCTCTTGTCAATAAATAACGGTGAAACGGGGTCGGTTACGTCTCGGAGCGTAAGTCGTTGTCCTCGTTCTCACCGTTCAAGTTGACATACCATCGCTGTAGAGTTCATTCGCCGAAAAGGTATCCTCGAATCGTCCTAACCATTGCGTTCACTCCCTTATGTTGCCTCGCCCTCTTCGCAGTACTCGCTGTCTCCTTCACCCCGGGCGTGGGGGACGCCGTTGGCATTGGATAATCCGGAGCCAGACGACTACCTGCATAACCCAGATCCTCGACGGGATCGGAAGAATGACAAGGGAGGGACCATCGTGACGGCTCGTGGTATCGCCAACCTTGGGTGTCTTTTTGTTCTTGCAGCAGGCTGCTTGATGCTTTTGTATGTGTCCTTCCTTCTCTGTTACCCATCAAGTGTGATTAACAACTCGTTCCAGCGCTGGTAAAGATCTTTCTCCTTCTATCTTCCTTGTCGTACTAAGTGCTCTCTTCCTCCCCTCCAGGTTTCCCTATTGTATCCCATTTTTTAACCAAGAAGCCGAGTACTCAAGGTGGTTTCAATCTCGGAGGGACGAACGCGACGGGCCAAGTGCCCAACTTTACTGGAAATTACGGTCTCATAGACAAAGATACACCGCAGAATGCCTACACGAAGCCATCAAACATGAAGGGCGAACAAGACTACGTCCTGGTTTTCTCGGATGAATTCAACGTGGATGGACGGTCGTTTTATCCTGGCGATGACCCATTCTGGGAGGCTGTGGATCTGCATTATTGGGGAACGGTAATTTTTGTCTGATGTTTATTTGCTTTGCAGTTTTTTTGAACAATTTTTGTGTAGAATGACTTGGAGTGGTACGACCCTGCTGGAGGTACGGAGAACGTAGCCTTACTCACTTTTTGATAACTAACGTCAATGTTAAATTTGCAGCATCTACCCGGGGTGGCGCCTTGCGGCTAACTCTGGAAAAAGCGCTGCCTCAGAATAATCACAACTTGAGCTATCGTTCGGGCATGGTAGGCTCTCTGCCTTCGTTGTCTTCAATTGCAATTGACGCGATCTCCGTCCATTAGATACAATCATGGTGAGGTAGCTCCTTCAAAGGACTTTACTATTGACTTAACGAAATGCAGGAATAAGTTCTGCTTTACTGGTGGTATTTTGGAAGGCAAGCATTTCTCTCTCTTTTTTCATAAGCAGGCGATTTATCGATGTCGATTGTAGCATCTGTTACATTACCTGGATCGACTGCAGTCAGGTAAGGAACCTCATGCTTATTGGCGACCTCAAACCCTGATCATTTTGAAATCTATAGTGGTCTATGGCCAGCTATGTGAGTATTATTGTTTTCATTGATATGCCATCGTAACTGATTGGTGATCCAGCTGGGCAATGGGAAACCTTGGTGCGCACTATCTAAGTTTTTAAGTATCTTGATATCCATACATCGTTAGGCCGTGCTGGCTTCGGCGGAAGCTTGGATGGCATGGTTCGTCCTTTTCTTCTTGCAGCACACATTAATCCTAATCATGGTACAGTGGCCTTACAGTTATGATTCATGTGATGTTGGTACATTGCCGAATCAGACTTACCCTGGCACAGCAACGCCGCTGGCAGCTGTGCAGAACGGTGATCCTTCCAATGGCGGCGTCCTGGTGAGTGTCTAGTCGTATTCGTTTGCAGCCGATATTCATACTCACGTGTAATGCAGTCATTCCTTCCAGGTCAACGTCTGTGTATGCCCGTTCTTCGCTAATGGTTTAGTTCATTCTCTAATATCTCGCACTGTTAGCCGCATGCACTTGCCCAGGAGAATCTCATCCAGGACCAGTGAGGGCCAATGGGAGCTACGTTGGTCGGGCAGCACCCGAGATTGATGTCTTTGAGGCCACTATTGATGGTGCAGTCGGAAAGGTTTCGCTTTCGTCGCAGTGGGCACCGTACAATGTGAGACATACTGATTTCTTGCCTTATTCTTCGTTACGAATGTGTTCGACAGGCTAACTACAACTGGCTGAATACAACTGACAATCTCATTTTATATGACCCGGTCAAGACAGTCTTGAACTCATACAAAGGCGGTAAGGCAATATTTTTTGTCAGTTGAACGATTTTCCTACTCACAGTCACCTTTTTCTTTAGGTGTCTACCAGCAAACCACCAGTGGCCTTTCGGTAGCAAATCAGGACTGTTATGAGCTAGAAAAAGGCTGCTTTTCCACTTTCGGGTTCCAGTATAAGCCTGGGTTCGATAACGCATACATTACCTGGATCAACGATGATAAGCCAGCATGGACGATCATGGTCGCTGGTATGGGAGCCGATCCGCAAACGGAGATTAGTGCCCGACCTGTGCCGATGGAACCAATGGTTTGTCTCCAGTCTTCGATCGCACAAGGGTTGGATTAACCTGATTGATTGGCGACTTGGTTGCAGTACATCATTGCCAACCTTGGTTTCTCCCTCAACTTTGGATCGATCAATTTCGATCAATTGGTTTTGCCAGCCGTCATGAGCATCGACTACATCAGAGTGTACCAGCCCAAGAATGCTGTCAACATTGGCTGTGACCCTGCGGCTTTTCCAACGGCGCAGTACATCCAGACGTTCGTATTCTCTTCTGCTCGCTGGGTGTCTGTGTGGGTTAACATGTTTTAGGTATTCAAATGTCTACACGAACCCAAACATAACAACCTGGAAGGAAGCCCAACAGCCATGGCCCAAGAACCGCCTCCAAACTGGCAGCTGCTAATAATAACGACTCCATGCCATTCATCGCGGCTCTTTCCACTGCCATTACTTATCCCCTCTTAATCATTAACGACATCCTTCACTATTGACTGGTACTTTCCACCATTCGTCGCATTGCTTTCGATTCACCCTCCTTCACATACATATATCTTGCATTTTTCGGAGCATTAGAGTTCATTCGCATATTATCAATCACAGCCTAGATACCCGCATTATTGACACCAGTACTTTCGTGTTTTACTTTTCCTACTTGTAAAAGCCGAACAAAAGCAGCCAAAAAGCGTGAAAAAGTGGAAAGGCTACAAACAAATTCAAGAAGCCAGGCCTCAAAAGCGAATGTATCAAAAGTCGGCTTCAAAGTGAGCAAAAACTATTATGTTGCTGATACTTGGAGTAGGGAACATCAGAATTGAGGTTGGCATCCCGAAGAAATATTGCTTCAAAGGGACTACATATCCTAAATTAGATTCCACTGTGAATCCGGCGAGGTCTCGTGAAGCTATACCCTATGAACTTAACAGGCATTGAACATTCAAGGAACGGTACCTCTTGTGGCTCTCCGTCACTCTATCGATAATTGAGATAGCGGAACATGCTCTATAAGCCATCCTCGAGCCTTTTGCTACTTGTGCGATATTCGGGCTGGCTGGGCGGGGTTTTCTTTTAGTAAAGGAGGTGGCAACAAAGATTTGAAATTCTATTGCCTCCTGCAGGCAAAGCTTTCCCAAGTGAGGCGGAAAAGACAATACTTGAAGTCTGATTCCGCCCAATCGGAAGACGTGTCGATTGCGCGTTTGAAGTTTGTAGCTTTGCAATGCATAGAAGGACGAGCCCGGGCGGGCAGGGTTTTTTTGGTAAAGGAGGTGGCGACGAAGAGTTGGAATTCTATTGCCTCCTACAGGCAAAGCTTTCCCAAGTGAGGCGGAAAAGATGATACTTGAAGTCTGCTTCCGCCTAATCTGAAGACGTGTCGATTGCGTGTTTGAACCTTGTAGCTAAGCGATGCATAGAAGGACGAGCCCCAGGGTATTCATGGAGGTAATGATAAAGTTTCCACGAGACCATCGCGACCAACAACGGTTCATGATCATGATCAGCGGAGATAGGCAGCAATACAGAAGAAGCGTCATTGTGGGTTTCAGGTCATAACATTGGCATGGATCTCGTGTAGTGGCCTGTAGTGGCCGTTGCATCCGGAAGTAAACACCTGTTGTGTGAGCGCTAGATACCTGTTGTGAGCGCTAGATACCTGTTGTGTAAGCGTTGTCCGTCTTCATCGTAATTTTCGCTGACAGTTTCTTTTTGCTCCACCCACCGCGTGTCCGAGAATGTAGGAAGCAAGCACTTGTAAGTAGCGGGCTCCGGGATCGATGGGTTCTATCCGGTTCGCACCTTGAATGGCGCTTCTGGTAGTGGCGCAAAGCACGCTGGTGACATCAGGTGTCGAGAAGCGCTGCTCGACGTATCATAAGTAATGATGCACAGCAGTGTCCTGAGTCAGGCTGACTGAGCTATGAAGTGGAGTTCCGACCTGGAGTGATCGTACGGTGATGGGACCATTTTAGGTAATGAAAGAATCGAAGTAGGCGTAATGAAAGGGGAGCACCATGGGGAAGTCCGAGAAGAGAGCGTGTTTTTTCGTTTCAAGGTAAATACTAAAGAATCAGTTTTTCCCTGTAATTAAATCAAATACTCAGGACTGGTGATCAGGGAGACCCTATATTTGTAGTGTGCGGGCTGGTCGGCTGACCATATATTTGGCCTAAACAAACAGGAAAATGAGTGAAAGCGAGGCGGTGAGAGGACAAAAGCTAGCCTTTTAGTGGAGAGTGTGGTGGATGGGGGGATGGAGGACTCGTTCAAAACTGGACCCTGATCACAGTTCTGGGAAAAAGCGACCCTGGCACAACAGATTGTTCAGAAGTTGATTGACCGGTTTCCATGATGAAAGGATCGCCTTTCCTGAATATTTGCAACCTTGACCGCGCTGGGGGCCCACTTTTCAAAACCACGCTCTTCTGCTCCTCCCGTCATGGGTCGCTCTTTCGAAGAAGACCCATTGACTTTGGCTATCGCTCCACCGCCAGACGAAACTGCGGAGGAACGCCAAATAAGAGAGGCGGCGGAAGCAGAGGCCAAGAGGATTAGTGATGAGATCGACGAGCAGCTGCGGAAGGAGAGAGAGGCGGAGAGGAAGAAGAAGAGGCCGGTCAAACTTTTGCTCCTCGGTGAGTCCCCTCTAGAGAGCTTGAGCGCGACGTTGACTAATCCCCCTGTTCAAGGCCAAAGTGAGAGCGGAAAGACCGCTACCCTCAAAAGTTGGTTCTCAACGTGCCCTACTTTTTGGATGGCCATTAACTCTCATCCTTAGACTTCCAATTGACATACGCACGACGAGAATGGTCCGAGGAACGCGCTGCGTGGCGCGCAGTCATCTTCCTCAATCTCGTGCGCAATGTCAACGTCATCCTGGACCACCTCAACGCTGAAATGTCGGACCTCCCATACAACCCCGACGACTCCCAGGATGACTTACACAGGCCCCGACCACCTCGGGCACTCCCACGTCTCAAGTTCACTGAGCAACACCGTTTGCTCGTCAAGAAACTCGGTCCTCTGACCAGCGTCCAAAAAGACCTTGAACAAAGGCTGGGTACAGCCACGGCAGAGATAAATAGCACTACTGTCACCATTGCTGCTCCTTTTGACGTGACCCCTACCAACCGACGCGCGTTGCAGGAGTTTTCGATTAATTCTTCGAACGGATGGAAGTCTGCGTTGGGTAAATTTCGCATGCGTTCCCAACGGCCCGAGAACGAGCCTGGCCTGACGCGGAAGATACAAGAAACGGAGGAAGACATCGTTGAGATCATTGCTAGCTGTCGCGACGAGATCAAGTCTCTATGGGACGATTCTATCGTCAGAGAGATGCTAAATAGGAGGAAAGTGAGAGTCGAGGATTCGCCAGGGTTGTGAGTTGGTCTTTCATTTGTTTCAACCTGGTTTAACTCTATTGGCGGCAGTTTCATCAACGATGCGGAACGCATTGCAAACAGGGACTACCAACCTACTGATGATGACGTTATCCGGGCCCGTCTTCGAACAATTGGTGTGCAAGAGTATCGTTTTGTTTTTGACCATGGTCAGAACAGCTTTCCGACAACCTGGTGTCCTTTCTAATTCCTCCCCCAGGCAGAACAATGGGTCAGGAGTGGAGACTTTACGATGTTGGTGGTACACGAAGTAGCGTGAGTTTTCTCTACGCCTAACCGTCCCTTCAATGACCTCTTTTTAGAGAGCAGCGTGGTATCCGTACTTTGACGATGGTCAGTACCACCAGCCAATGTTTCTTAAAAGAATTGCGCTCATTCCAATGATTCACCAGTTGACGCAATCATATTCCTTGCGTGCGTATCTCGTCTACTCTCTCTTGCCCCTTTGACGTTTACTTCGTAACTCCCTTGACATACAGACCAAGTAAGTCCACTATTTCTTCAGCAATATGAATATCTAAAACTGGTCATGCAGTCTCTCCTTTCGATGAAAAGCTAGCCGAAGATCGGCGGGTCAACCGACTAGAAGACACCTATCTACTATGGCGCTCAGTTTGTGCATGCAAGCTCCTGGCGCGGACACAGATTATTTTATGTAATTTCCCCTTTTCTTCTTCTTTTCATACCTCAACCAACGCTTGCCTTTTTGACCAGTCTTGAACAAGTGCGACCTCCTACAGGCAAAACTACAACGAGGAGTCCGAATACGAGATTCAGTTCCCAGTTTCGGCGACCGCAAAAACGATCTTCCAACGGCTACCCGATGTGCGTGTCTTCCTTCATTTCTTGTCACATTATCTGACTCATCTCTTTTCCGTCCAGACTTCCAAACACACTTTAAGGAAATAGCGAGACAATACTCTACTGTGCCACGCCCCTTCTATGTTCATCTGACCTCTGTCATTGTACGTAGCCTTCTGCTTTCCATGCGTTTTGCTCAGGATGCACGCTCATTCGTTCCTTGTCCCTTCTTTTCACAGGATTCACAGTCCACCGCTGTCACATTGGGAGCAGGTAAGAGTCATCTTTGCCATACATGCAAAACATCATTTTAATCAATTCTTTGTTGCCCACCAACAGTCGAAGAATCGATTCTCAGGGAACATTTACGCCGTGCCGATCTTATGTGATTTTTCACTGCCTACCTGACTTCCTCGCTTCTCGAACACAACATATCGTCGCATGCCTAATCCGCCTTGGCCCTTCTTTCCTCCTCATAAGCACCGGCGGGGGCTCACCCTCATCACCTGCTGTAACTTTATCCATGGCTTTTTGGCTATACCCTCGTGTATTCTCCATCTCCGTTCACATTTACGGCTTTTTCCTATATAGTCTTGTGGATTTGGTTGTCATCTCAAAATCATCTTGGACGGTCTATTTTCTTCTCAATCCCCTCGCTGCTGTATTATTACACCTATTCTATTCGTTCGATCCGATGGTTTCCATTTGTTTACTCGACACTGAGTAATCAATGTCCGTGTGTAATGGATCTACTGTAGAAAAAAAGGCGATAAATGCAGAGAAAAGTATGATTATTGGAACAATTCCATAATATGTATCAAACAAACAGTACATAGAACCGTATCACGACAAGCGATTGTCACCTAAACTGGGAGAGGTTCTCAGAACAGGACTAGGCAAGCCCCTCTCCGTCCGACTCTCATCGTTCGCGACAACAGCAGACACCGACCGATTCATCGCCGGCCTACCTAATCCAAGACCAACACCAAGTTCAACTTCTTGCCCCAAATCCACCTCATCCTCGCTATCTACCGGAGTACCAAAGCTACTCCCATTCGTACTGCCCCCATTAGCAGCACCACCAGGCCCAGATGCCGTCCGCCTCGCTCTCCTCGCGTGGAACGTTCGACTCGCAGTAGCATTCGAGAACAAAGGCAGCAGATACCGCTCGTCCAGCGTCTGGAACCACTTCCCGTCTTCTCCAATCGCAACCCCTTCACTGCTCTGCCTTGGTGGATGGCCAGCTGGATCCTGCGCAGTGGGCGCCATAGGAAGTACTTCTCCATCTGAATCATACGAATCAGATGATGCAGCGGAAAAGACCGCATTATCTCTGGTTGTGATTGGCGATGTAGGTCCCGGTATTGATTGCTGTCGTTGCTGCGAATGGATGAACTGGTGATTATACTGCCGAGGTGTGTAATGCGTGCCAATTCTTGCAGCTCCACGGGCATATTGGCTGGGGGGTAGGGCACTCGACTGGTCGTCTGCGAATCGACTTAATCTACCTCCTCTTCCCCCGCCCCATGCATTTCTGCTCATAGGCGGTAACGGGTCTTCATCATCGCTGCTGCTAGCACCATCATCCTCCACTCCAGTGCGGATACCTAGAACCTCAAGCATTCTCGCTGTAGTACCACCAAAGAAAAGGACAGTGAGGACGACAACAACAAGTACGGTCGTTCTTAAGATCTGCGCGTTGGGGCCTTTGAACCCAGCTGCGAGAGCAACGCCAACTGCACCCCTTAGCCCAGCCCAGAACAGCATCATTTGATAGGAGTGAGGCAGTTCCTCCGACCGCTGCCCGCGAGCGTGCTTTTGGAAAAGATTGATGCCCTCTGATAGTGGGAACACCGCTGCGTACCGCGTAAAGACGACGGCGACGGTGGTGATGGTGATGAAGAGGGGTTTCACATAACTGGTGACCGGCTCGGACACAGGCGCACTCGTGAAAAGCGCCATACCTAGGTAGATGAATATAAAATTCTCCGAAAGCTGAGCAAGGGTGGAAAAGAGAGATTTCGAGGCTCTCTGTGTCCGACGCGACATCGTGTGGTAAGCGTAATGCTTGAGGGTAATACCACAGAAGAGGAGCGACACAATGCCAGACATGGAGAGGCCATTGGAGAAGAAGTAGCACGTGTACGCGCAGAGTGCGACGAGACAAGATTCAATGGATGGGTAGTGGTTGAGATAAGAGTGTTTGAGAAGAAGTGACATTCCTAAGCCAAAGGAGACTCCAAGGGCCATTGAGACACTAAAAGAGAGCAAAAAGATGCCGATTCCATGGAAAATGGAGGACAGATACACTTCGGTACCATGAAAACGGCTCAGAGTTCTGCGTGGGAGGACGTTATCAAAAAAATACCTTGGCAGATTGCAGGGGTACTTACTCGTACATAACGATACTCACGGCATCGTTCAACAAACTCTCCCCAAAGATAACAGTGTACAATTTCGGGTCGACCTTGTACTGATTGAAGATGGCAAGGATAGTGACGGGGTCCGTGGCCGATAAAGTCGAACCGAACGTCAAGCACTCGAGGAGCGTAAGATCTAGCGATTCTAATCCGAGAAACGAGTATATATAGACGAGAACTCTGTTCTGCAGGTGATAAAGATTTGGGACACATTAGGAAGGGGTAGGTAACGTACCCCACGCCGACCGCTGAGATGAAAGTGCCAAAGAACGCAAAAATGATGATGGAACCAAAGTTGCGGAAGAAGTTTTCCTAGGAAGAGGCGATAACGATAAGTCTTTGGCTTTCGCGGGAACGGCACAAACTCACCTGTTTGAGTTCGTATCCCGAATTCAATATAATTGGTGGGAGGAGGAGGTTGAAAAACAATGTATGTTTAAATGTCTAAGCCAATGGATTAGCAGGTATTCAGACAAGAGAGCCACCACAGAAGTCAGCGATGCTACGAAAAGCCCCTCCCAACTTTCTCCTGCCCAAAAGTCGACTCAACGTAGCAAGACGAAAGCACTCACCAGCATCTCACGAATCATTGTTCCAGGGGCCAACCTCACGATCAAGCCTACAGTCATCCCTGCGAAGATCGACACGAGAGTCTCATGCACAGCACGTATCCGCTTGATTTGGAGGTAGTAGGACGTCCACAAGGACAGGGTCAACAGGATGCACACAAGAAAGAGCGACCATGATGAGTAGTACTCTTCCTCCTCTGCTGGTGGAGGTGTGCCTGAGGTTGTCGCCGCTGCCACGGCGGCCACGGTAAACGAGGCCAGCTTGAAAGGCATTTTGAGGAATGGAGGCGCAGTGAAGGCCTACAGGACGTCGTGTGGAGGTGAGAAGAACACTCTGCGGAAGTTGCGCTTTTCGCTTACGTCAGATTTCAGACCAGTTGATCTATTTCTGTATCGACGTGTACTAAACGTAGTACACCGCATTATTTTACTACTGGATATAATAAAAATATTCATCTAAAGGCTCCCAGAAACATCCCTACAGCCGCTTCCTTGGTACCGAGTTGGACTTGGCCAACACTAAGTTCTCTTTAATCTTAGAGACTATCCAGCGGCCGGTGTCGCGGAGTGGTGGTATTCTCCCTTCCTCGTGTTTTGGAATGAGCGGAATATTTAGTGCTTGGCGAACCGCCGGCTTGCGGAGAATCACGGATTGAACCCCGGTTAGAATGCTAGTTGTAAGCATGGCCACGAAAAGACCCTGGCCGCAAGATAAAGGTTAGAAACGAGAAAGTGTCACAAGCCATAGCTTACACTTGGGAGGGAATGCATAAAAAACATGCCTAAGACGGAGAGTCCGCGGAAGCAATTCATGTAGTGACCCATATCTGGTACATCTTTCGCGTTGATGTCTTTCCCGCCAAGCTGTGGAATTCCATTAGGCACAACGTAAAATGAGCCTTTAGATACCCACCGAAATCTGGACATTGACCACAGCACAAAGCGCAATAGGAAGAATCATGGTGGGGTCGGCAACGGTAAGGTCGGGGAGCAAGCTGAACCCACTGTCCTTCAACTGCGCAACTGGAAGCTCGCACATCCTTTTGGTGGCAAAGAACATCCCAATAGCGACCGGAACCTGAACAACAGCAGGGACAATCATGTCCCTCATAATCTTCACACCCGCCTTCGAGTAAAGAGCTTGCATCTCGAGCGTAGCTCGCTGTTGGGCGACTGGATCCCCCGTTTTTGCGGCCGTTCCAATCTTCTCCCTCACCTTCGTCATTTCCGTTTGAATCCCACGCATTCGAGCACTGGCCCGCGCGGCCCTAATCGCGAAAGGAAGGCAGAAGAGTCTGCAGACGGTGGAACCTGCCACGATAGTCCAGAACCATGGGAGGCCAGTGGTAACGTTGATAACCTCGTAAGTCCACGCAACGAGTCCAATGGGAGACCAAGAAGACAGGCCAAGGGCAGCAAAGTCTCCGTATTGTAGCGCTGGAAGGACATTTGAAATAATGGTGTCTGAAAGGTCGGGAGCGGCATCTGACACGAAGGCAGCGCCTTCCACGGGTGAGTCCGGCAGCGAGAAGGAGGATACACCTTCGACAGCGCTCTCCGTTGTTGCGGCAGCGTCAGCAGGTTTCTCGGGAGTTGTTTGTGTGTAACTCCTTGAGCCAAGATGGCGCAATCTTGTCGCATTATTTGAGCTAGAATGCTAAGACTATCATGAATACAGCAAGTGACCATCAACTTGGAGTGGATCTCACCTGGAGCACGGAAGAAAAGCATCTTGCAGCTCCAGATGCCCTAAACAATGGTTGAATGGAGTAAAAATCTTGGGCAGACAGACGTACCTTCTCATTGACAAGCCATGCGACGCCGCATTTTGTAGACTTAGCCCAACCCTGCTGGCGAACGCCATTTTTAATATTCCTGAGGAGGCTTTGCTTCGGGCGCTGCTGAATTGGTCGGCGTCAAGTGGCAAAAAATTGAATTCCCACGTGGTCTCGACATTAGATTACCGGAGACTTTACCGTTACGTGAAAGGATCATTCCCGGACCTCTAAGAGGCGACGATGAGGGCTCTTGGCCGGACATTCTTCCTATCATGAGCTCTGGCCCCCACCATACTTACAGGTAATTACTCACAAACTGGACTTTGAGCCGTATTTAGGCCTATCGATCATCCTCAATCTGACCATCATTTTACAGAGGCCATCGACGGCAGTCTTTTGTAGCCCAAGATGTAAATGAACTCGTCGAGCTCCGAGCTCGACAGCGCACCTTCCACGGGGCCTACAGTCGAACGGCCATAGGTGCACTTGGCTACGCTATAACCATTCTTCGACTCTTTGATCGGGATTTCTATCGCAGTACGTCTGCTCTTCCAATTTCGCGCATCCACATGAATAACTAGCGTGCCCCACTCCAGTCGGACTCTTATTTGCTATACTCGGTGCCCTCCTCTTTATTTTGGCATTCTTTCGTGCCCGCCATTCGGCCCATGACTTTGCGGACAGGAGTAAGGAAGCTGCGTCCGTGGACGAAGGTATCCAAACGGTCGGGCAAGACACGTCCCGGATATATGGACGCCCGTTTGTTACTGCCGGGTGGATAGTGCTACAAGTCTCAGCGGTAGTGGCTGCCGTGGAAATTGGCATGCTGATACTTATCCTGCGACGAGATGCTCCTGTAAGTCTTCTTCATATGTCAAGAAAAATGGAAGCTGATTGTGTTGAATTTTTTTCTTAGTAACGACATAACTATGATCCGACGCGGAACTAGATTCTCTTTAGAATGTATCCAAACTCTCCCATTGCTGCACTATCTCTCGTTGCCTGAATGCCTTCATTGCCACCCTAAGTTGGACACTGGCAATGCCCCACCGAAGATCATTTAACAGAGTCGCGTCAAACTCAGAATGGTCCAAAGCTTGCGAGCGCAGGGCTTGAAGCATAGCCATACATCGCCGTATTTCCTATTGGCTCCAAATCCAATCCGTTCGGATGCCTTGAATACAGTGGTGTTCACCATATCAGCGAACATGTCGGGTGTCATAATTTAGGCACTGAGCAAACTGTCGGTAGACACATGGCACGCAGTTTACTGTTTCCCCGCCTTCTGTCTGGCCTAAGATAGTCTGGAGTTACAGCTGTAGTGTGCACCATGCTATAGCTACACCATGATAATGTCCATATTCGGATTTCCGAATTCATAGCGTAGATAGCGTAGATTCAAGGAGATAAGCGCGGACAAACCACTGGCACCGAGCTAGCCTCAATGAGACGTAGTGAGACGTCCAATCAGCTGACAGTGGCACCACGGCAAGACATGACGAGGCCACATGGCCGGTCAACGGAGAATCGTGTACCTGCGTGGAAGCTGACGACGATGTCAGCTAACGAAATGGAGATGGGAACCGGAAATGAAGTTTCATAGATACCGATATCTAAAATAATTGCCGCGAGTCGCGTTCATGAACTATGGGTCCACCGTAGTTCGTGCATCTGTGTCGAATTCGGATTCAGAAACTATGTAGTCGTTATACAAGATTAATTTTCACCGACGCCTACTCATCGCAAAGCATCCTTCATAGCCGGGGCTATCAATTGCACTCACGGTATCTCTCCAGCGTCCTGCAAAGTTACCATTACCATTGCCAACCAAATAACCGCGGTACAGCCATCTGCCTCTACCGTCCTCGACCTGAGGGGGGTAAACAGGGTTATGAATGGGGTTTGACTGGCATTGAGCACATACATAAGCTTTTGAAAGACTGATAAAGCCGTCATATGGCCTGACTCTCCCGATGATGTTAAACTGGCCCCAAGCCGAGTGACCCTGTGAAATGGAGGTTCCGTTAAGATTTCTCTTTAAACTTTGATAACAAAAGAACTACCTCTCCAGTGACGATAACGTCTTGAACAGATGACTTGATACCAGGCTGACCCCGGGTAGACCGCTGATAATGAATAGGTACTTTCCGTCCTGGCTCGGAAACGAGCAGCCCATCGGGATGTTCTCTGATGTGGGTATCGGTCGGGAAGAAAGAGCTGAGAGGGTCACCGGCGGGTAACGCAAAGCATAAGTCTTGGTTCACAAGGTGATGTTCACGGAGTTTCCAAGTATGTTGGTGCCGTCCGAGGGCACTCCTGTGAAAGATCTGAGGAGGCGCTCCATGAAGTAATTCGACGTATGAAGTGAATTCGGTATACTGTTGATTTAAGTGGAGTATGTTAGTTCACCGCGCTCCAGAAACAACTTGGAAAGACTAACAGTGAAGAAGCCTTCCCATACTCCCTCGAGGCTTGAGACAACTCCATTGATAAGCAGTTCTATAAAGATAGGAATCCGAATACCTTCCAGGTTCAAAACATGCTGTGACATCCGTATTCGCTCGACCTTGGCCGAGAATCAGACCCCTTCTCCATTCACAGTCCCACTCGCTACTTGGTTTGAAATGTATCGCCGGATCGGTAGGCGGAAGGGGCACCGAACGGGACGTGTTTATCAAAGCAAGAAACGCGAGGATAGCCGGCATTGCGAGAGGAAGGGGAGACAATTCAAAGCAGTCTAGATAGTAGGAGATACTGTCTGCTGGTTTGGATGAAGCTTTAGCCTCAAAATTCGTGAAGGGAAGCGTGCTTAGATTGTACTGCGTGCCAACTCATGATTCGTGCAACTAAGATTGAGAACAACAATCACTCACTATGTGCGCTGCCGAAGCGTGGATCTTCAGAATATTGATAGGCGATTCAGGCCCGTCGATAATCATGTAATCGCCTACAAAAAAACAATTGAGAACGATCGCAAAAAAAAAACGACCAACACAAACGAACTGGGCGTCAGCAAGAACCAGAAAAGCCACATTGCAAGGGCCGTGGTCCTGCTACCGGGTGGCCATTTGCCCGAACGGATATGAACGATAGACTTTGACGCCCCCTGTTCGTCAAACCAAAACTCGCGAAGCCAATCGCCCATCTTTGCATAATCCTTCAACTGTCGTTCGTTCTTTCCCTCATTCTCCAGCATGATGAGATATGCGTGAAGCAACAGGTCGCTGAGACCGTCACCATCCGTTAAATTCACAGACTTTGCATCGGACCGTCCTCGGATGCGATGAAATAACTCGAATCGCAGCTGGAGCTCGTGTGACAGTGCAGAAGCAGAGAGTCTGACCGAACCAAAACGCGCTACGGGCGCGCCGACGTCGAACTTGAATACAAAGATACGCGCGTAAAGAGATTTATTAGCGATGATGGATAATCGAGTGTTGATCCTTCGATTGGTGTTGAGAAGAGGAATGAGGGAAGATGGCGGGCCTAAAAAGCTCTGGGTTGCCGTGAAGAATGCAATATGTTCTAGCACCTCTTGGGGAATGGTATCGAGTGACAATGACATCCTTGAGGGCCGAGGCTTGTTGGTACCGAGCAGGATTGGGCACGCCAGCTTTCGGACTGATAACGAGTCACAAGGACAATCTTCCAGAAAGTTGTTGGTTGTGACTTACAGCTGATTGCAAAACGACAGGCCAGTTTTGGGCTTGCGACCGGCGACCGCTGCCAGTGATCTTCAGCGCTTATTTATTTGTGCCATTGACGGAAGCCGGGCCAAACAACAACCGGCTGAAGAGCAGCCATCACAACTTGATCACAACTGGCGTTTTGCAATCAGCTTGCTAAATCTCGTAAAGGCGCGGGCTTCATAGATGATAGATACTTAGTGAAAGTCTATGTAGAGGCGGACATGGACAACAACCTTTCGTACAGAGTATTAATCGCGAGTCTAATCATGATGCAACCGCGCTTGTGGAGGAATCATTACCGTGGTCTCTGGACAAACTAAAAATTCCATCCCAAGCCGCGGGCTCGAAGCCACTGGACGGGCATCTGAACCTTCCAACGAGGTTCCGAGACGATGTCGCTGGAGGCATGTACGTGTCAAAGACGGTCCGTCTAAACAGATCATAAGATGGCGCACCATATCCCCGTAGGAGATGAGATTCGCCGAATGCCTGAAACGGAAAAGTTGGAGCGTGGAGAGATATACATGGAAAAGTTGAGACGAACGGGGTCGAAGTCAACGGAAAGTACTATCAGGCCATCGCGAAGGCGGACGCGCCCCAAGATATTCATTGGTGCCCACGCTGCTGGATGTCTATCATCGAGCTGAAACGATGTCAGGTCAATGCTGGGAAGCTGGGGAAGAACGGATCGAGATAACCTTTCCAGTGATAATGACGTCCACGACCTGCTTCCGTTGACCCTGTCCAGATTGAAATGTGTCATAATGCGTGTTGAATGTGCCTCCCGTGTCGGAAAGATAAAGTCCCGTCTTCCCAAGATAGATGAAGAAGATTATTGGTTTACAAAGCGATTCACTCACCGGTGTTTCGGTTGCACGACAATTTTTAGGCAGCCATGCATTTTGCATGCCATTCGCTGCATCATCTTGTGGTACGACGTTATTGATGTCCGAGGTATAATGCTCCTTCAGTGTGAGATACAAAGGTCTTCGTCCCGTCGCACGGAAATTTGAGGGCGCCTTCAATTGAGATTTCCAATCGTTATAATAAGTGTAAAAGGGGACCTAATGGTGCTCAGACAAACCGACCTCCATGATGAAAAGGCTTACAATTGTCGAACCCTGCCAAAGGCCGCTCAAGGTACCAAGTTGGTAGCTTGGCTGGCATAAAACGTCATGTAGGGAGAGGTTGAGGGAATTGGGTTGAACACCATTATCTATCGCGGGGAAATCGGCAAAGGTTGTGTGACAGTGATTATGAAAGTCTTCAATGTCATCAATGTAGACGCCTGTTGTATGTCCGGAGACCTGAGAACGCCTCAGGCATTCGCGCGGTGACGCGACATCGAACCCATGAGTCTCAGCACGAATGAAATATAGGAGTGTGGCATATAATGAAGCGCAGGGTATCCGGGCCTTTCGATTGTTGTTTCCAAAGTATACCACGACGACGGGTGGAGGATGGATTGGTGGATACTGACCGTGGACAGTCGTACTCGTTCTAGGCATTCCTTCATCGTCTGTCGGCCCGAATAGATACTCGGGTTCGAAAGAAGTTGGATACTTAACATTATTTAAACTGACGAACTGACGGGGAATAGATAATAAGCTTACGCGGAAAGGTGCAAAGATAAAGGGATTCAGAAGCTCTTGGACTTTATCCCGCACACCTGGACCCTCGGCATTGATTGAGGCTAAAACATAAATCTTCTGAAGGAATTGAAAAAATAATGAACAGAAACATACTCGAAGAAGCCGTCAGCCACAAAAGGGCTACAGCTAGGGAATTTCTCTCGTTTGCAAAAGGCCAGCCATTGTTCGTATCGGCTCCAAGATAGAGTCGTTCTCGAAGAAACAACTCAAGGAAGGATGAAAGGCCGGCATTAAGTAGTTGTTTGATGTTCTTTTGACTCCCACCCGAGTCCTCCCACATCAAGAAGGCGATCCAAAACGCCTCAGTGAGGGACGCATCATCGAGCCGACGATTTCGAAAGATACCCATAGCGCCGAACCTGCGCTGCATCTCCAGCTTTGCGGTGCTCCGTACGGCGGCTTCGCCAAGTCGGCGGACAGGAGCGGCGATATCGAATTTCTGGGCGAAGATAGTGCTAGATAATTGGCCAGAATTGCAGGACAGGCAATCTCTGAAATAGCGACAAGTGAGAACCAGATTGAACCATTCTTTGGGTGGCCCGTTAAATGAAGTAGCAGTTGCATGGATCAGAATCTTCTGCAAGACCTCTGGGGCCATGTCAGTCCAGTCCAAACGCATGGCGAGAACTTGAGAGGGAAAAAGCCAAAGTATTGCGATCATATACCTCAACTCAGGCTGTCAATACAACTTTGATTTCGAACGGCGACCTTCAGAAAAGGAGTTATTTCCGACGTTGCTTCTACACGTGGCACATAGAGAGGCGCCATAAACAAAGCCGGTGAATCCACCAAAGCCCACACCGGTTGAGCCGTGCCTCACTATTTTCCTATCAAACGATGATAGTAAAGCGAGCGAGAGCCGCGGGCGGTCATAGTCGGGGACGTTCACTGTTGACTGGACCAATCGCGTGGATATGTGGTCAGGGCAGCGCTCGCTGTTGACAAGGGAACATCTGAGATCGCCAATCAGCCTAAAATAATCGAAATCATGATGTGCCCTGAATATTGAATTGCACTCACCTCCTTGGCTCTCCTTGGTCAATGTTGGATTGAGTCGCCGTGGGGTCAACACAAATCAGAAGGGAAATGTGTAGGACTGCACAGGGACTGTGTACCGGAGGTCCAGAATCCGGAGCGGTATGGACGCCATTCAAATTAATCTAGGGTATGAGGTTTGATCATCAGACGTTGAATCGACGATTCTGACTCTTTGAGAGTCCCGGAAACATAGTCATGGGTCGCCGAAGCCTGTCGATCTGGCGTGGCCTATCGTTCTGCTCCCAGCTGTAATAGACAAAGGTCTAGATTGAATGTCACGCAAGAAGCGCTCGCAAATGGACGGTTATTCCAACATACGAAACCCGCGCAGGACCCAGAATGTCGCAGTACGAGTCGCCCACTAGGCATATGCAATATCGCTCTAGATATTAGTCATAATCCAAGGGAGGAGAGAAACATGCAAATCGCCGTCATATTCGGTACGTGTTTGAATGAAGCACTTACCAATATTCCAAATCAAATCGACATCCACAGAATTTAAACACGAGGATACGGCTCAACGTCGTAAAGGTACCGTGTCGGCCTGGAGGTCACAAAGCGGAACATGCGGAGGACGTGATGGGCGATCTAGTTATCCTGATAGCAAGAGCGAAAAGAAGATGATAGAAAAAAAAGCTCGTTTCCGTTTTACACCTTGCTCATTATCTTGCAACAATTCCACAACTGGTTTGGCGCATTTTCGTGCTGGGCTGCATTTTCAAGAGCATTTCCGCATACGACGCGCGACAACGAACGTTTCGAAAGTTAAATCCGCGTCCAAAGGTAGGAAGGCATAGACAAGTGACGCGGGACTGTATGACACACGCTACGAACTAAGATCTATACCCTTCTATACCGCCAGACGCGAAATCAGTATACAGCATTGAGGCACTCCCGTGTACTTACCTTAAATAACCTTGATCAACTTGCAGTAAGCTGGCTGTTAACGTTATACTGCTCTAGCGCTGCGACCCGTAATACTTAACGACAAAGTTTCATTAACCCGCGATTGCGAGCCGTAGAGGATGAGAAAGTAGAGGAAGTAGATATTTACACAAATTACTCCTAAGTATTTATTTAAGGTTCTGGAACCGGCCCTGAATTGGGAGATCATCCAAAGTTATCAGCGAAATCAGCAAAAAATTTAACTCGACTCTCCTCCTCCCAATTATCATGGCTGCCGCAAACATCTCAAAGCTTGAAGAACATCTGGCCACAAGGTCCTACGTCGAAGGGTCAGTTTTCTTATCCAGTTCACCGATCACCAGGGGCCGTAAACTACGAGGCTATAACCTTGAACTCGATTATTTTTATCCTAAACGAGGCACTCACTGCTCATTAATGCCAGGTATACCCCATCTCAGGCCGATGTCCACGTCTTCAAGGCGATCGCCTCGGAGCCCAGTGCGGCCGCAAACCCCCATGTAGCAAGGTGGTATACCCACATCAAATCGTACGCTGCAGAGCATCCATCATTGCCGGGTTCTAGCACTGCTGGAGAAGCTTTTGTTGGAGAATCTAGCAAAGCTCCTGACGCAGAGGAAGACGATGATGAAATCGACCTCTTTGGAGAGGATGAGGAAGAAGATGCCGAGGCCGAGAGAGTTAAGGCTGAGCGTGTTGCTGCGTATAATGCTAAGAAGGCGAACAAACCAAAAACCGTCGCGAAGGTCCGCGTTCATCGTCGCTTGACCAAGCATGTTTATCCCTATTTTGACATGTTCACAATCTTTGCAGTCCGTCGTGACTATGGACGTCAAGCCATGGGATGATGAAACCGACATGGAAGCCCTTGAAAAATCTGTCCGATCTATCGAACAAGAAGGTCTCATCTGGGGTGCAAGCAAACTCGTTGCAATCGGTTATGGGATCAGGAAGCTCCAAATCACCCTTGTCGTTGGTGCGTAATTTACCGTCACTTCATTAATAAGTGTTGATTGGACTCTCTTGTCTAGAGGATGAGAAGGTCTCCACGGACGAACTGCAAGAGAAGATCGCTGAGTTTGATGACTATGTGCAAAGCACAGATATCGCTGCTATGCAAAGTGCGTTTCATTCCCGCTTACCTCTTCACGTGGTTAACACGCCTGCCTCAGAACTCTAAAGTTGACGGATCTTGAACCCTTAGAGGGAATTCTAAACTTTGTAAAACAATGTAACGATTTGTCGGAGTTCTATTCAATGTGGTACACTTTATCCATCACCATGCAAGTTCGGAACTCTCAATTCATCGCCGAGAACCCAAGCGCCTTTTGACACTCGACAGTCCATGAGGCACTTCATTCATTGCGTTCCTCTACTGTATTGTGCAAAGAGTGTGTCTGAACACATTTCAGAGAATCACCGCTCATCTTACATGATAAGGACCTTTGGCGGCGATCAGTTTACCAATGACTCAGGGAGAACCACTGGTTGAGGCTCGCACTTCTTAACGCGCCTGTAAACATCCTGTCATCAGTACATTCACTAAAGGTTCTAGTACGGCCTGTCGTGGCCCATTCCATTTGTTGTCAGGTCTGTTCGGTTTGGAAAACCCTCAAGGAATATGACGAGATGAAAAGGGCAAGCAATCGGATAAATGGGAAAGGATCTTGGGCGCAAAACCTTGGCAAAACCGGTGACCCAATCAAATCAGGTAGGGTGGAACTACGACCAAACTACAACAGATCTTGTCAGATCCCCTTTCTCCTTATTCTCTCAAAGCCGACCAGTATACTGGGTAAAGTTTCGATGGACAACACGGCGTGGATGGACGTTACGAGAGCCGTATCCGTGAGGACCATCTTATGAAAATTAGGACGGCTTTGGGCGCTTTCCTCAAAGCTCTTAAGGGTAGAAATTTGGCGTGACGAGGGATGCTCAAAACGAAATGGCGCCCCGTCTCGACACAATACCTCTTGATATCTTGCAACACATCGCATACCTCAGTGCTTTAGGCTCGTCGGCAAACCCGCCGATAGATCTACTCCATCTTCTTTTGACCAATTCTACCATTTACCGGTCACTGCGCCTGCGGTCTAACCCTCATCTGTACGCAAACATCTTCTGTAGCGTCTTCGACTTCTGTCGAAGTATGGACCACGTCACCGCCTCCAACATAGCTGCAGAATTTGTTTGCAGGCACCGTTTCCTACGACGCGTTCGGAGACTCGATTTTTCGATTGAAGAACTAACTCAAGATCTTTGGGCCGCGGTCCGGATGATTCTCGAGAGCAACGGAGCAAACCAAATGCACCTCATCACCGTTAATTTTTCTGCTTTCTTGATAGATCTGTCCCAACTCATCTTTGCGAATTATCCGGGAACTGAAGAGCTCGACTTGAAGACGGTAATCGTTTGGTTACTATGCCTCAGTGTTTCTCAAAGTTTGTACCTCGGTTTCCCCTGTGGAAGGGGGTCGTTGCTGACGGTGAACGTAGAAGACATCTCCCACACACCTATAGCACTACGCGGCAAATTCGTCAAATGGATTCACCCCTTCATTTCTCCTTCACATGAAGTTGCTTCCTTTTTAGTTCCCTCCGTTTGCGCGCTGACGCGACGACCAGAAACAGGTTGTCGACTCTGCTCCCAATTCGGCCCCTCTCAACATACCAGCATTCAGAGGGGATCCATCTTCAAACATCTCGGACGGTCCTCAGGAATCAACCATAGATAGTTGGCAACATGAGCCAATGATCCCCGACCCTTCCTTTGCCGCCATCAATTTAACGTTTGCTTTCAAGGAGGCAGAGCTTTCCTCCATGCTGCTGCATGCAGTTTCTGAAACGCGTGCCCTTGCTGCAGTTGCCCATCAGGCTGGTCCAACGATGGAAGACTTCAGAGTTTTTCAGTCGTTCCGGACGCCACTGTGTGCCGACACACTGTCTCAAGAGGCGGGATTGATGCGAAGCCTGGAGCACGACCCTGAGTTCCGTTGCCTGATGACTCGAAGGCCCGATGCAAATCACCTACATGATATTGATTCCTACGCCTATGTCCCCGGTACACTCACAGGAGTTTGGCAGGGGACTTACTTGGTAAATTCACTTACCCATACCTGCTGTTTGGATGTGATGAATACTTTTTGGACAGACTGCAATACCCGTTATCACGCCCTCCACTCCCGCTCATCTTACGCCCAGGATGGATTTTGATTGTCGAAAACCTATTCAATGCTCGCTTTCCGAATACCTCTGTTTTGGTCCAAATATCCCTGTTCCGTGGGAGGATGACACAGCAGAGTGGACCCCACGGCGCCTTCTGGAACAAGAAGCAAGTCGGCTCTGCAGCCTCTGTCACGGGTACTGATATACATACCATTAGGATGGTTCCAACATTCTCTCTCAGAGGTACAATTACGAGAGGTTCGAGAAGTACGGAGGACGGCGTGATTCACGCGAAGCATTGGATATTTTCATCGTCGGCGAGGTTAGGGATTTTCATATCTCTTCAGTGATCGTGATCTTCGTCCCTGACAAGTACTAGACACTCGAAGACCATGACCTAGCGTGGGGTGGCTTTTTGTTCGCAGGGAGGGTTCAAAGGGATGGATCTATTGTGATGAAGCGAGAGCCGGTAAGTTTTTCAGCACCGATTGCGATAAGAGAGGTTTACATAGGTACTGCAGAAAGATCCAGACCAGGATTACTTGGGGACATGGGTATTCGAAGGGCGCTTGACATTCAGCAAAGGCTTCGTGGGGAGATGGCGATCAAGCAGCTCAAGGGACATCTCAAATGCTCAAGGCATCTTCAGCATGGCGAAAATCAGCAAGTGATCGGTGAGAGTGTTGTTCAGCTGTTGTCTTGGACCTGCGTATGTTCTTGAGATGGTAGCTTAACAGTAGGTAAGGTGGCCATTAGTTACCACATGTAGACTGCTCTTTTCTGGTTTATAACAGCCATGATAGCCATTTCGTTGAAGGCCTTGATTTTCTACAAACCAAATAATTGTGTGGTGCGGTCAAATAATGATACTGGGCAAGTTCCTTAGTATCACGTATTGAAGGGTCCAAGGACAATTGTCGCGGATCGTCGCCCCGCAGTCAGGAACGAAGTGGCAGGTCAATTAGGTTTTCCGACACATCTCCGAGACGTGGATCGATCGACAGAAGCAGGTCGTCGTGAGATCACCGTCCAGCAGGCAGAGCGCAATCGCGGCCAATTGCGAAGAGGCTTGGTGAGAATGTTCACAAAATATGCGCAATGTGATTGTTTCCGGAGACAAGGTTCTGTCAGCCCCACAGGGACTTTCTAAGAACCGGGTTGGCCAGCGATTTAGTATGGAAACATAGACCGTGGATGTCCACGGTAACCCTACGTGATGACTGAATAATATCAAGTTCCGGAGGAAAACGCCGAAACTGCAGGTATAGACAGGTAAGCGTGGTGCAATGAACCTTTTTTCTGCGTCTTCTCTATTCATTGTTGAGGGCGTTATGCTCCACTCGTCCATAACAGAGCAAAAGAGCCGGACACAAACGTTTCATTCTGTAACCGATCTGGGGTGGATTAGAGGATATCAGGCTGGAACGGCCTACAAGCCCGTCACATGGAACGGGGATTTTACCTTGCCGAAAGAAAAAGGAAATTTTGTCCTTCACGATCATTGACTAGATCGCTTTCTTGTCCATCGACGCGACAAGGGTATAAGTGAAAGCGCGAGTCACGTTCAGGGGGCGTCCTTATCGCGAGAGAGCCTAACCAGCCATTTTAACCTAGCTCTGACGATAGTTGAAACGCCTTGAGGTCGGAGACGTCGGTGGACCCACCTATGAATTGAAGTCAGGGATATCTTTCAGAAACATGTTGTAAGTAATGACTGTGCCAGTTGAGCAGGAGTTTTAGGGAGAGGAACGACCGTCGGCGGAGAGACCTTGAGATACGCCTCAGGGTAAAACTCTACTTCGGGACGGGCACAAGGTAGGGGCGTCCCCATTCTCGGAGTGTATCCTGAAAGAGAGCTATCTAGCGTAGGACGGGAAGTCAAAGTCGAACTCGAAGACCGTCCTCGCAGAAAGGAGACTTTTTCAATGGAAAAGCCCTGATTAAGAATCTTTTAGCATCAAGTCCACATATTTTCCGAGAAGTCATTAAAAGATGGTTTGAGATCAATTGCCAGACCCAGTCGCACGATCCAAAAATGTGTGCGGCGAGTATATTCAGTGAGAGCGTATTTAAGGGTGACCTTAATGATATTTCTCCTCACAGCTGGAGTTGTTTCACGCACGGTCAAGCGGAAAAACAAACCCGGAGTGCCACTGATGATGGTTGTGTGTGTTTGCCAAGATCACTGACCAAACAGAGAATAAATCCAATTCTTTCAAGTTCCCACCCATCATCCTCTTCCTCGCAACGCCCCTTCCTCGTTTTCCTTAAATCCACCTCGTTGTCGTCGTCGACAGTAAACACTCGTCCGCTCCTTCAAAAGATTTTTCCTGTTAAGATGATGAAGTCTTTTGCAATCGTCTCTTTATTCACGTCGATGGCTTTGGCCCAGTCATCAGTGCGCTGAGTTTGCCTCGCAAAAACCCGCTCTTTCTGACCGATTCACCATAGGGTTCTTCAACATCTTCAGCTGCTGCGGCCTCCTCAACCGCTAGCCCTCTGATTCCTACTGGCATCAGTGCTACCTGCAGCACTTTCCTCACGACTCTGAACAGTGACTCGACCATCACCACGTGCACAAAGGCTCTCCTCACGGCTACTTCCAGCAGCTCTACCTCCTCAGCAGCCGTGTCAAGTGCTCTGACGAACCTTTGCGCAGATTCCATCTCTACCAGCTGTCCTGACAGCCTCCTGCGCGGCAAAATTACAGAATTTTACACAGCCTGCACCGCTGAGTTGACCACCGCTCCTAATTCTGCCGTGATCAGGATTTACGATGTTATCTACGCCATCTCACCCATGAAGACCGCTGTTTGTTCGAAAGACGACAGTGGCAACTGGTGTGCAAAGGCATCCACTGCTTCAAACTCATCTGCCAGTGGTCTCCACGCGTCCTCCACGCCACTCACTGCAGCTGACCTCCAAACTCCCCTCTCTGGTTCCAGTTCTGAGACCGTCCCCAACATGGCGATCTTCAGCAGCACCAATCTCCCCTTCTGTTTCCTCACCCCTGCCCTCGATGCAGCCTCCCTCTGCACGACCTGCACAAGGAATATTCTCACCGCTTACATCACTTTCGAATCAAACGCGCCTTACGGCCCAGGCATTGCCAACAGTCAAATTCTGGCAACCCAACCTGCGCTCTACGCCGCTGTCCAGCAGAAGTGCGGAACCAATTTCCTTAACAACGTCGTCCAGGCCGCTGGTGGCATTTCGACTGGCTCCAACATCTTCCACTCGGGAGCAGTGCCTATGATTGATGGCGCTGTTCAGAATATCTTGGCGCTGGCCATGGGTATGGTGACTCTGGCAGTCTCCGCACTCTAGCTTGACGATTGGTACCGGATACCGCGCTGTTTTTTTTAACACTTACAATATCCCTCGATCTTACCCAGTTTCAGACCTTCGCTTAATTAGCAACGTATACCCACTGGGTACTTACTTGGTCAGAGGCCGCAAGACAATGTCATGAAATCTTTGCTTGCGTTGCTGAATTGGAATTTTCAATTTATGTTACGTACGTACGGTACCTACTGCTCATGAGTAGACAATTAGTCGCCTTGTGCTAGAGGTCCCAAATTCAATCAGAAGTTAATGTTTTTAGATCTCTCCACACGGTATTGAACACCCGTGAACCCCGGTTGTTTGGTCCTGTTAGATAGGAACTCGATGTGCTTGTTCCTGTCTAACTAGATACAAAACCACTTTTCCAGCGCTCTGGGCAATAACTTTCATTACCTCCCTACCTTTTTACTACTTAAGACTTGTAGTAGAATAACTTTGTCCGCATTGGGATGTATCCTTTCCCATCAATGCTGGCCGTACACCCGTTGCGTCCCATCAATGCCATCATTGCTTTATCATTGCCGACTACCAAATCCGGTAATGGTTCTCACCGTGGGCGTCATCCCGCCGTCCCGCCCCCCAGTGATGAACATGGTGTTTCCACTGTTACTGGGCCGTTTCCCCTCAAATATTTTGCTAATTATACTGTTCTGTAGTGTGTTATGTATATTATGAGGTCAATTCAATGGTTCCCTGCCCTAGAGCATCACAATGTGCTGTGCAGATGATTATGGTGGTGACCAACATCAGTATCCATCTCCTGGGAGGTCTCTAAGTGAAATAGACACATCAGACAGGCAGTAATATGCTCACTGGGGATGGGGGAGATGTTCTATAGGCTGTAACATCCTCAGAACATGCATTCATGGTAGAGTAATTGAGATAAATTCCCCCCCTTTCCCCCCCATGGTATACCCCCACTAGAGCATCCCTAAAGCAAGGGATAGAGAGTATATTACATATGATTGATTTAGGGTGGCTCAGAATAGGCATCTGAGGGTTCAGGGTATCTGTACTGCTCAATATGCCCCCAGGGCATATAAATTCCTATGGAAGCCCCAGGGCAATATGTTCAATTATTATTGGATAGAAAGGTAGTATAATAGCATAACAATGAGAATATAAGGTTGTATTTGGAGCGCTTTACATGGGGAATGGTGCATGGAGAGGGGGAGGGGGAGACATACTGCCCATCAGTTACATCACCAATGACCTTCATTTACCACATATAACAGCTGATTCACATACTACAAAATACCCTTGGTCAACCTGCAGCAAGTAGGTAGCCTGGGGATGGCTATATAAAATTATTTGAGGGAGGTGAACAGAAGTCAGTGAAAAGTGCGAAATTGGCATACTGTGACCTTGCCATTTTAGATAAAAAATATATGAGGTGGTAGAAGGTAGGGCTGGGGTAGCTAGAGGGTGGTTCAAAAAGAATTAAAGAGATTGAGCAGATGAGCAAGGCAGGAGGTTTGAAAAAGGTGTCTTGATGCATACAGAGATATGGAGGGAATTTTTGGTAGTCGGCAATGATAAAGCAATGATGGCATTGATGGGACGCAACAGGTGTACGGCCAGCATTGATGGGAAAGGATACATCCCAATGCGGACAAAGTTATTCTACTACAAGTCTTAAGTAGTAAAAAGGTAGGGAGGTAATGAAAGTTATTGCCGTAGCGGAGTATCCAGAGATGGTAAAGTGGCTGAGTGATGAAGAGGAATGTATGGAGACGGAAGAGTTGTTTGGGGTGGT